CATCTCAACTATTCGAATTCTTTGATTTCAATAATATTTTGCTATTTCGATAGAAATAATTATTATTTTCATAGACTGAATCACAAACATTATTGAGATGTTTATTTCCATTAAAACTTACTATTGATCTGTTTTCTATTCAATTATGTTTATCAATTGAACAAAATCAGTATACTGATTGTTTTACTTCCATCGAAGTTTTATTTTTCTCACTTAACACTTCAGAATTGTTTTTTTTATGCCAGTTGAAACTTACTTCATAAATCATTTTAGAAACAATATGAAACTTTTGTTATTCATATATATAATATGATAAACATTTCTATACAACAAAATAATCTTATTTTTACAAATTACTACTAATAGTTGAATAACTTGCTATCGAATCTTTCCATAAAAGACGATTTATAATTTCTTCATGAGAAAATTCGATAAATTAATTTCAAATGACTCGAGTCAAAGATGTGTATCATCAAGTTCAATGCTTGATATTGTACCCGACAGTGGTGGTGATGACAATTGATCTTTGGATGAAAGATCAGCAATCGCAACTTCATATGATGGTGGTTCATCTTCGTATACAGTGAAAATTCCTGAAGATGGTGGTACCGTATTTCTTGTGTAGATGGATCTGTCATGAACAGACTGTCGTAGCTGTTGTTGGTTTTGATGTATTCTACTTTGATTACTCGGAGTTACAGCAGAAGAATGTGAGCCTTGCATTTTCTTATGTAAACAAGCGCAACAGCACATACATAAGCTGAACAAAATCACTGAAACAATGGCTATGATAATGGTAATTGGCGATGGTATATTGGATGGCGAAGGTATAACACGTTTTGTTGTTGTTTGATAAGAATTGCATTGTATGAAGTAATTCCCACACGGTTCATAGTCTATCAAGAAGAAAAACAGACACACATATAAACGCTTTCTATTTTCGAATTAGTTTTACTTACATTCACAACACCAAACATAACCATAGCCACTACATGTTTTTTCTATATTTAAACAAATGACACATCTAAAAGATTAACTTTAATAATGATTTCTAATATACATACGAAGATAGGTACAAGTATTTCCCAATACATTTGTCGATATACAGAGAATTAGAATGAAAATAGAAAACACACAATTATACGATTGACCAATCATTATTTTTGTGTTGGCAATCTTACTTTAAATGCTAACGATGATGACTTTGTATGGACTGATAAGACCACATGATATTCGTATTCTCTTGTTGCTTTATAAGATTTTAACTATGAATATAATATTTATTCAAAGGAAAAAGAAATGACTCTTGAATGCAAAGTTATCTAATATACCGACTAGTAGTTAAAATAATACTTTCATACGCGGAGAGTAGAGACGATTAGTCAATATAGGTGTTACTATCAACTCCAATCATTTTAATATAATCTAGTCACAACGTCGGTCTATTTGACTTCATTTATAAGTTAAGACAAATAATAATTGATGAAGTACTCCAAACAATTATTTGTAAGGTTTTATGAAAATAAGAAAACAGAAAAACGTATACATCATATAACGATTGCTTATTATCACATGATTTCATAATTGACGTTAATATAGGACAAATAGGCGAAATAAATTTTGACTAGTTTACCGTAACAACTTACGGCAATGTTTGAAAAAAGTAGAAATATTCGGATGGAAAATCGTTTCAATTTTCAAATACAACAGTTTATGCGTGCAATAAAGAAGTCAAGTTATTTATTACCTAGAATGATAAACAACCAAGCGTGCCTAGAACAAACTTGTTTGATTAGATACAGTAACATAATTGGTAAAAGTCTTATGTTACATTGTAAAAGTAAGTATCAAACAAGTAACCTATTGTAGATTTACATTTTTGTGAGAAAATTCTTACAGGCTACTAACTTTATATAGTACATAAAAGATTACATTGTTTCTACGATTCGTCATTGAAGTCATATTGTTAACGGAAGTTTGTGACAGATTTGACTATTCTACTATTACACTAATGAAATTACGTTTCTTCTAGAAGAAATATGAATGATCAGAATAATTACTTCTTTATAAGTTCTTTGTAAGATCACTATAATAATTGCCGAAAACCAAACGGTCAAATATTGACAGCACTGAAATTTCATGATACACTACAGTGGGTAAAGGTGTAATTTGTAGATGATGTCGGTACTAGGACAATTCGTTGCAAATATGTAACTATTGTATTACGCCACTAATGTAACTATAATTTTATAATCAAATATTTTATATAATTTGCTGTATTGATTAAACGGTAAAGAGAGACAATACCATGAGAAGAAGAAAAAAAATTAATTATAATAAAAAATAAAATAAGAGTGTTATTGTATCCGATGATCGTTTACCTCGAAATTGTAAACTAATTAGATATTAAATATATCAATATATATTGATAGGGAGAATCTATAAATTATCGTTTTAATTTTAATCAAGATCAAAAAGATCATAAAATAAGGATTTGTTATTTTTTTTCAATTAATTATTAATCAATCAAAGTACCAATGGATGCCATCATTGCATCCGCTATTGTTGTTATTTATGAAAGATCTTGAATAATCAATAAAAAAAACAATCTGAAACAAAAAATGGTTTCGCTTGACATCCGTCCATAAGTTGGGGTTTAATTATTGGTTATGAACATATACCAGTGAGGCCCTTCAATAATCGTTGCTTTTACTTCTGCACATGAGGGATTGGCAATTACTGGGTCGTTAAATTGTTGCATCTCCTAGTAGCACAAAAAGAGAATGCAATTGGTTATTGCTTATTACATATTTCAACATCTCAACTATTCGAATTCTTTGATTTCAATAATATTTTGCTATTTCGATAGAAATAATTATTATTTTCATAGACTGAATCACAAACATTATTGAGATGTTTATTTCCATTAAAACTTACTATTGATCTGTTTTCTATTCAATTATGTTTATCAATTGAACAAAATCAGTATACTGATTGTTTTACTTCCATCGAAGTTTTATTTTTCTCACTTAACACTTCAGAATTGTTTTTTTTATGCCAGTTGAAACTTACTTCATAAATCATTTTAGAAACAATATGAAACTTTTGTTATTCATATATATAATATGATAAACATTTCTATACAACAAAATAATCTTATTTTTACAAATTACTACTAATAGTTGAATAACTTGCTATCGAATCTTTCCATAAAAGACGATTTATAATTTCTTCATGAGAAAATTCGATAAATTAATTTCAAATGACTCGAGTCAAAGATGTGTATCATCAAGTTCAATGCTTGATATTGTACCCGACAGTGGTGGTGATGACAATTGATCTTTGGATGAAAGATCAGCAATCGCAACTTCATATGATGGTGGTTCATCTTCGTATACAGTGAAAATTCCTGAAGATGGTGGTACCGTATTTCTTGTGTAGATGGATCTGTCATGAACAGACTGTCGTAGCTGTTGTTGGTTTTGATGTATTCTACTTTGATTACTCGGAGTTACAGCAGAAGAATGTGAGCCTTGCATTTTCTTATGTAAACAAGCGCAACAGCACATACATAAGCTGAACAAAATCACTGAAACAATGGCTATGATAATGGTAATTGGCGATGGTATATTGGATGGCGAAGGTATAACACGTTTTGTTGTTGTTTGATAAGAATTGCATTGTATGAAGTAATTCCCACACGGTTCATAGTCTATCAAGAAGAAAAACAGACACACATATAAACGCTTTCTATTTTCGAATTAGTTTTACTTACATTCACAACACCAAACATAACCATAGCCACTACATGTTTTTTCTATATTTAAACAAATGACACATCTAAAAGATTAACTTTAATAATGATTTCTAATATACATACGAAGATAGCTACAAGTATTTCCCAATACATTTGTCGATATACAGAGAATTAGAATGAAAATAGAAAACACACAATTATACGATTGGCCAACCATTATTTTTCGAATTCGGGTTAATTTTATTATTTTATGAAACTGAATTTTATCATTTTTTTTCTTCGTTGCTTTATGACTCTAAACAATGATAACTCATCATAAACAGATAAGATTGTTTAGTATGGCTTATTTTTCTTCCGTTTTTTTTTGTAAAATTTTATCTATTTATTTGCACAGAACAACAGTCAATTAGTCGAAAACTTTCAAACATTCTAAATTAGTTTATTTTCATATTTTTCATATTTCAGTGTACGTTTGAATAATATAATTGTGTTAGACATATACGTGAAATAAATATTTGATCTTAATATTTTACTGCTTGTTAGTATGGTAATTTTCGTTCTGAATCGTTCTAAAAAGAAAAAATCCAAAGAAAACTCATCGAAAAATTGTAATCATATGTTCGTCATACTTCCAGTAGTTGATACTGCAATAACTGCAATTTAACAAGCGTCACTTCAACTTTGTCATTTTTGATCGATGCAAATAATACTAATAGTTTGATTACCATTCTCATACATCTTATGATTCTTCTGTCATTTCAGTTTTTTTTTCGAATGATTTTTCAAAATCTCTTTAATACAGAATTATGTAAGGTTAATGTGTTATGCATAAATCTGTTGAATAACATACTAAACTTCCTAGTGTTTGAGTAGATTCATCAATTTTACATGGCCGTGATAGATGATTATCTATTGAATAGAATTGAATGATTGATAGCAATAAGTAAAGTTTGCTTTCTTTCTGACTAACATGCATTATAAATAAAAAAATCAATCGACGTTCGAGTTATGCTGTTACTATCGTAGACAAAAAGAAACGATACATATCGTTTAGATTGAAATGTAAGTAAAAAATCATTTAACGTATATTTAGAAAGTAGCGATAACGAGAAACTATTATTGATTCATATTGTAGATTGATCCACTTGTAACAGACTATAAGAAAATAAAATTCAACTTCGTTTTATCGACACGTTTTTTTTAATACATATTATATGAAGAAAAATACACATAACTTTGTGTCAGCAGAAGATATGGTAATTGTAGAGATGGAAACATACTTCGTTAGCTTATTCAAAAGTTGCTATAAAATATCATTGATACTGTTGCGCTAATCATATACAAATATTCGTGTTATCAATGACAAAATAATATTTGATATATCATTTCATTGAATCGGTACATCAAAGGTTTTAAGAATTTTGATTTTAATTTTATCGTGGTTTGCTCATATCATTGCTTTAGTATTTCATTGAAATTTTGTTGAATAGTTCATTTTTTTCCTGTAGGAAACTAAGTATTACATTCAAGTTTCAATGAGAGGTGACAACATTTGTATTTACTTCACAGGAATTGCTGTTCAATTCAGAGATTTACAAGCGAAGCAACTGAGAATCTACACTCATATACATTTTTCCGAACTTTTTCCGAATGTTGATCTTTACTTTTATAACTTCGAGTAGTAATCATTATCAATTAGATCATTTTGTTTTCTGTTAAACAAAGAGAACATTCTAATTTCGAAACTGATCGAGATGAAGCTATCGATATTATGTAGATTAAATGAATTATGAGATTTCAATCTTTCAGATATTTTGTTGATTTTATTCAAATTTATAAAGTTTTACTTTACGATAGAAACAAAACGAAAGAACTGAAACTTGAACGACAAACTACACCCTGCAAGGTCTATTTCTGTACGACATTTTTTAGTAGAAAGTAAACAAGTAAATGTTGTAAACACATACAATTATTCAATTAGAATAGTATCTTGAAAACGCAGTTTCTTTTCAGTAACAAGCTAAACGTTTTTGGACGAGTCATTTTTCATTGAAGTCTATATGATGCATTTAGTCTTCAATAATACTCCACTTCTTAGTTAGAAGGCACCTTTACCCTTCGAAAAGCATGCTTTTTTTTATAAAATTTTGACATTGTACGAAAACAGAATAATACAATAAAATGAATATCTAGAAATATATATTCTAAAATTTATTCCATTGAAGTTAGTTTTTATTGATCATCAGAAATTATGAAAGCATGAGAATATATTTGTTTAACTTATTCTTGTAATACTTGAACATGCGCTTTATGTGAACATAATTGTGTCTAATCGAAGAAGCTCTCTTAAAAGCTGTCCAATATACTATTTAATATTATTTAATTGTATTGAACAAAATTGATCAATAGTTATATACTTAATTTCATTCGCTAATTGAACTGGCATATGTGCATGTTTTAAATCCAGATGTTATTTTTTACATATTTGAGATCATTGATTTCTTTTTTTTATTGTTGGAACTAATCAATTATTAGTTGATATATAAAATTATGTAATGTCTGACGTATGCTTCAACGTCATGTTGATACATATCATGATATTTCAAACGCACATGCATTCTTATTGCAATGGGAACATACAAGAATAGCCTATTGATTACATTTCATCTTAGTTGCTGATAATTTTTTTAACACTACAATAATCCTACGAAAGCGGATCCATCTTGGCCTCGAATTAGATAGGTGTGGTATTATGGTAGCATACGCATTTTGTTTCACATAGATTTCTTTAATTTTAAAGCGAAACTGTTTTTGAATAGATGTTAATGCTTATTAAAGAGATCACAAAGACAACTGGCTTCTGTTCAAATATTCTAAATATAATAATATTAGATGATTAAACAACGAATAAATTATTTTTAATGATATTCCAATTGAACATAAACAGACATAATGTTCGACGAATGCTTTTCAATAGAATTCGAACTTGGAATTTATTTATCAATAATGAGCAAATGCTTTTTTATTACTAGTATAAATTTGAATCGATGTAAATATGCGTTGCTATTTATAGAAATCGAATACAAAAAAGATTCACTATAGAATATCGTGAGTGATAACAAAGCACAAACAAAGGAAAAACACAATTTTGTAGAGAATATTGAGTGAATAAAGTGGAATGTACACACAAAATTATTGATCGTTATATCTGATTAATTTGTAGATATATACAAAAGAAGAAAAAAACAAAAACATTCATAATTGCTAAAAGAAGAGAGTTTCATTCATCAAAAACAAAAGATTGCACAATAGACCGACGCAAAATTCGTAGAAAACGAAAAGAAAAAGATTATCTGCTATAGATTGAATACTGAAATTATCTTTTAAACTTCAGTTGGTTCCTGATAAATATAAGCATGAGATGGAGAAGATGTATTTGTAACTTCGTGATATGATGGTGGCGCTTCATCGCGTGGCATACCTGTTGGTTGATGAACGATCATTTGTTGAGCAATTGGTGGTTTTATTATTCGACGTCCATTCTCTGGAGCAAAATTAACTTGATTATATCCTGCTGATGCCGTGGTTGAATTAGTAGCCTAGACAAAACAAAAAGAAAAGAAAAGACATGACTTGATATTCTTTTAAAATTTATAGAATCAAATCGTGGAATTATTTTATCAAAAACAGAATAATCAAGTGCGAAATGTATGAGCAAAATTGATGCAAATAACTGCCGAAGAAATCATTCGAATGGATACTGACTGTTCAAAAAAGTTCATAGTGAATCTTCAAAAAAGGTCTCTGTAAGAATAGAAAAAGTTTAAACGACTTCGTCGATACCAGCATTTTATTATTAAACTAAGGACTTTATAAAAGGTACAAATTACGATTTCTACTTGTACCTTTACTCATGTCTAATAGTTCGAATGGCTCATAAAATATGTTTAAGTTCTAATTGAAAAGTATATTGTTTCAAGCTGAAACTTTCAAAATATTCTATTGACCATTCGATTTGTCTACGGATACAATTGCCTGTCGAACTGCTGGTTTATTAATTTTTTAGTAAACATTTAAATCTATATCGGAAATTTCATAAAACAATATACGCGTTTGTCCTTGAAGTTTCGTGTGAATGAGGCCGTTTAGACTTTTTTTAGTTAAAAGAAGATTTCTTGTGACTTCACTATGAGTTAAAACAATCGGTATCAGTTCTGATTAGTGATTCTTGTCGAGAGTTAGAAACACTTACCATTCGATATATTATTCTTTTTGATATTAACTGAAATACAATTATTTTTATCCATTGCAAATAACAAAAAGGATTAAGAATACTCAATTTTTATGACGATTTTTCTCTGAAATTCAATAATACATACCACTGAATCTTGTGATATTTGATTCGGTTGTTGTCGCTGCTGTTCGAATTCTTCCTCTTCAGATGATGTATTATCATTATTTGCTTGTTGTTGTGCTCGCAATTGTGCTGGATTATGATAATGATGATGTTGATAATCATTTTTAGCTAGTGATGAATTTGGTGATGGTGTTTTTTGTTCACGTTTGGATAATATGGGTGGTATATCTTGTGAACGTTTTTTCACAGGTAATGAAATTCCCGTTGGTTGGTTTGATCGTAATGACTGAATTGATTCCGAAAGAGATTTATGCGAACCAAGTGGTGTATGTGTTCGCAAACGATTGGTTGATAATGGTATTCCATTAATACTTGCACTTAATTCATCAACATCCTGACGTTCAGGAGAATACGAACGTATTGGAATTGAAGGACGAAAACCAGGAAGAGCACTTGCTTGACGATACGATAGAGATACAGATGTTAGAGGAGTTTGACGATAAGATGAATGAGTACTAATCATTGGTGATGGCCGAGCTGGAATCGGTGGTGGAGCTTGCATTGAAGTAGTTTCTGCAGAGTCAACTAGATATGATGTAGATGATGAGTCTATTTTCAAAGATTCATTTTTACATTTCGAATAATCAATTGGTAAAGTCCCTCGACGAGATTTTCCTTGTTTACTAAAAGAAATAGAAAGAAAGATTTGAAAAAATAAAATTTCATTCTATTTCGATCTGAAAAAGAATGAACTTACTCAGTTGATAGCTTTTCAGCTAAAGCGAAAGAAAAATCCATTAAGAAAAATAACTCAATAATTCTAAAAAGTTAACTTACTACTTGAATTTTTTTCAATTTGATCCATTTTCCGTCGTTTTGAAAAGATAATCGTAGTGATAATAATAGAAGTAATAAGTAATAGTAAAATACTACCAATAATGATTCGGATATGAATTGAAATTTTACGTGAACCTCCATCAGTATATGAATTTTTCTCCAACGCATTTAATTTTGCTAAAAAGAAATAAGAATCATGAAATTCTTTTTGTTTTCGTTAAAAATCATATATATTTGGAAAAGAAAAATAAGATTTTATTTATCTTTTTTTTATCGTAGAATTCTTTCATTTGTCATAAGATTTCAGAAATGTTTGAATATTAACTGAAAAATTGTGACTGTTTAGTTTTAACTTTAGTTTTTCGAAGAGTTGTTAATCGATAAAAAAAGAAAACCAACAGAAAATAAATTTATTCGAGATTACTGTATTTTTATGTATATGTTATTTTCAGTAAACTGAAATTTTCTTCGGAAAAAAATTGAAAGAGAACGACGAATCACTTTATTATTATTTCTTAACCAACTCATATTTGTCGAAACGTGGCATAGAGACTATGATAGATATTTTTATGGACATCTCATTACAAATCGTCACAGATGCATTAGAAACATTTTCCATCTATGTGGTATCATGTTGACATAATAGATTTTACTCATCTAATTACTATTAGTAAGAATTATAATAAATATGACAAATGTTTTTGAGAACATTACACCAAATATGAAACTACATCTTCAATTCGATTGATTCGTTGAACTAATCTGTTTGAAATTCAAGAGCAAGTAGTGCTTCATCTTTACTAAACTCTAATGATTTTAAGAAATGATATTATCCCTTCATTGAATTTATACAACTTAATAGATGCACGATCAACAATGAATAAAATTTTAGTATGCAATACCTGTATCGCTTAGACGCAAAGCACACGAGCAGTTTCATGGTTGAATGATAAATCTTCCAAAAACACAAAATTACGGACTTAAAGATAAAAGTTACGCATTGTGACTGAAAATACTTTTATTCAAGATCGACTGCAAAAATTTGAATTCATTATGAAATTAAGTATAATTGACAGATCTTGTCATGAACAATATTTTCAATCATACATAGAATAAGAACCTTAAATACTGGCTCTTCGTTAACAATTTTGTCTATTGGTTTTTAATATTTTGGAATATAGTAGCAGTGAAGAGATAATAAAGCGATATTCAACAGAACATAAGTTCATTTTGAGAAGCTTGAAATGCAGATGATTATCTACTCTACCGATAGATGACTATTATATTCTTCTTCTGTGAAATCAAAAACATTCAAAGAATGAAGTATTTTATTATCATATTCGTATATGCTTTAGTATAAATATAAATAAAAGTGTTCCTTACTACTGAAAATTAAAAGAAAAAGATCTTTTTGTCATTAATGTCGGGCAACTGTATGTTATTTCATATTTTAATCTAGAGAATATTATTGTAATAGGTGTTGGAAAGCTAACAGTTAGTTTGTGAAAAGTAGCAAAAAATAAACGGTAGAGACCTTGTTTTTTCCTTGTTGATAGATATTTAGTTCTGAAATAACATACAATTTCTTGTTTGAAGAAAATTGCAATCAATGAATATCGAATCATCAACAATCACATATTCAATATGTATGAAATATTACCAACAGGTTTTGTTCGACAAATTTAAAAAAATAAACTAATCCCATGGTTATCCTTTTCTCAAAAATTCAATTGAATCCTTTCTAAGATTTAACTTGAAAAATCAACTTACGAGAAATAGAAATAATGAATTCTTGTTTAACAGTTTTTCCTCGTGATTGTGCTTGGCATTCCATTATAGATTGTCCTATATGTTCATAAATTCTTTCAATTTGTCTAGTTTTACCAAAAACTCTTAATTCATTTGAAGTTGACCATCCATTATAATTCACTTGATCATATTCCTTTGATGTATTACTTGAAATTTCATACCAAACATATGATGGATTTGGATTAGCTTCAATTTGGCATTCCATTTCAAATATTTTATATACTTCACTTTCTAAATGTACTTTTGGCAAAGCGCCTATTTCCAAACAAGGTCCGTCTATATACAAAAAAAAAAGAAGAAATGAATAATTTCTCTTCTCATTCGAAAAAATATATAAATAAATGATTGTCGTACATTCAACATCAATTGAAACATTTTTCATTAAATAAACATCGATCTGATTATTTGATTCAACTTGACATTGAACTATTCCATTATGATCAGCACGTGTTAATGGACCTTCAATTTGAATTGTGCGTGTAAAATATTCTCTATTGAATGTATCATTATAAACTTTTTTATTGGATAACATAGATAATGATGTTCGAGTTGAAATAAATAAATCAAGACGGGGTAAATATTCTGAGCCCGTTGTTTTCAATTGTTGACCATTTAACGATGAAGTTGATTCCGATAACTTAAATGTTGAACGTATTATTGTTACAGAACACGATAAAGGTGACACAACATTATTATCTTCACTGACATGATAATTTTTAATTTCAAGTGACGAAACTAAATAAAAATAAAAACAAATTAAGAAAATTTCTAATTAGCTGCTTTTCTGTATTCAGCTTACCATTAACAGCACTGAGTATAGAAGTAAATGTTTGCCATTTTTTATCAACAGCTGCATAATGGCCAACTGTAGATGAATCAAGTTTAAAAATTGTTAAACGATTAGTTTTTTCATCATAATTAAATTTTGATTTATTTGAAAATCCATTGCCGATGATATACAATGGATGAGCATTTAAACTTAAATAAGTTACTTCAATTGATGATGGTGCAACTTGAAATGAATAAGATTCAGATAGATTTCCAACAAAATAATTCACATTCGAACTAGATAAAGATGAAGATATTTGACCAAGTAAACAACATGGTAGCACCATAAGATAAACTAAAAGAGTGTACAGTTTGGTTCAAAATTTAAGATATAAAACTTTTCTTTTGATAAATATTAATATTTCTTAATCAAAAAGCTAATTTTTTATGTTAATTAAAATTATTAACGCTAGCAAAGAAGCATGAAGGTACTATCCAATTACATACTAATAATCATTAAAAAAGCTCTATGACAATTGAGTAACGGCTGCTTTTTTTTTCAAAAAAACAGTATGTTATTCTCAAGCAGAGAAGTATAGATTAGTTTTAGTTTCGACACGACACTCAAAAGTACAACCACAGAAACAAGTTTTCCTAACTGGAAATACAAAACATAATTTCAAACCTATGGTAACATGAATAAGTGATTTACAGTAGTTGACTGCTTTAGCTGAAACACAAATTCTAAAAACTTGTTTTTTTTAATTTCATAGAAATTAAGCCTTTTAGATGGTAGTCAGTTTGCTTTATCACGGATAAAATCAGAATCACTAGAGAAGAATTTATCGTGCGTCAGTTTGATCTTGTAAATTTTTCTAATCTCACTAAACTATCTACAACTTCTACCTGCAGTCGATTCTAATCAAGAAACTATGAAAGAATAACTGTTAATGATAAATTCTTACCGATAATAATATAAAATTGCATTGTTTAAATTCAATTATTAGATATAATTCATGGACAAAGAAAAGACAATTTTAACAGCAACAACAAAAAGATATTATCTGCAACAGAAATACAATTATTTGCATTAATAATGAAAGCAAAACATATTTCCATATGAATTTATTGTTCAATTAATATTATTTTCTGGCCAAATAGCAAAAAAGAGAAAATAGAGAAGAGAAAAAATGAAAAATAACCAACAACATCAACAAGAAGTACGACAATGAAAGAAAAAAAAGCTTTGTATATTTGTGCGACAAACATAGGCAGATCCCGACTTTTCACTGTTTCCTCTTTTTAAATAATACATATATATATATACATATACATAAAAAAATCAGTCGAAGATACAAGAAATGAATAGCTTTGTTGTCAGATCATACCACCGATATTAAACAACGAGAAAAGGCAAGAGTTGACTAGAACATGAAATAGAGTGAACGAGATTACAGTTTTTTTTTGTTTTTGATTATTTTGGAGCGGCATTAGGTGCTGTTGTTGATCCCGCTAGTCCATTATCGGTCGGCATTAATAAGCGTCCAATTTTCTTCGATGAATGAAGTGTCAATGTTGATTTATTCAAAGCATCATTCAATGCCATACGCCATTCATGATATGAGACGACATCCTAGAAATGTTCGTGTTTTTTTTTCGATGAATGAAGAAAGCGAGCGATAAAACGAAAAAAATAAACAAAAATCAAAAGAAAAAAAAACAGAAAAGAAAAGAAAAAAAGATTCTCAAAATGACAACAAAAGCAGCATCAGCAGTAACGCAGTGATCGCACGACTAGAAATAAAATAGAAGAGATAGACGAGAAAAAAAAGAAAAAATACAATAAATCACTGTTCGTCAAAGAGAAAAAAAAACATTTTCTTAGTTTGATTTTAGATATATGTTTAATCTTGAAGCGTGCCTGCAGCTATATTAGTTTTTTTTATCCCACCCAAACTACCGCCGGTCGATGATAACGATGTATTATGATAATTACCCGATGATGATTGTTGATTTGAATTAATATTTGCATTTGTTGTACTACTTACGTCAGCTCCATAAATTTTTGATGCTTTTTCACTAACTGTTAAATGTTGTTGTGATGCAACGAGTGTATCATACAATGCCTTTTTCCATTCAATCCATGATACTTCATCCTATGGAAGAGTTAAAAATATTCTTCTTCCAAAACATAACAAAAAACAAAAAAAAACAAAATCAAGTCTAAATTTAAAATACGATATTGATAGAAGAACAAGAAGCCCGCTAACATGCAAATGAACATAAATAATAACACATAACAATGAATAATGTAAAAAACAATATAAAAAATATTTAATATGAATATTAAATTGAAAACTAAGTTCTTACCTGCGGTGAAAGCATTAAACGCGGCTCATTCCCACCTTTTAAATGAATTGTAATCGTTTTTTGTCCTTTACATTCTTTTGAATCAATATGTTCAATACGTTCCATTGTATAAACCTTTTGAATAATTAAATTAAAATTTTTTGTTGATAACATATCGTGTTCATTAAGATTTTTAATATAAAAGAAAAGAACTGCTAACATCAATTCAAATATTTGAGTTTTTTTTATTACTAGCATCATTTATTTCAACTGAAAGATCGATGTAGAATAATATCTATAACATATTTATATATATTATTTAACAATGACTTGTAGCTTATAACATAATTGATTGACAGGAAGTTTTCAACACGATAGTTGTGTAATAGTACTAGGCAATGTAATCATCGAGTAATGTTCATTGGCTTTTTCTTTTCTTACGAGAAATATTATTCAGAATAACTATGAGATAGAAAATGTTTATCATATATTATCTTAGTAAACATTATATGTCGTCGTGCATTATCCTATGGTTATTAGCTGTTATGAGTATTTATTGATGATCTTTACATTGACATTCACTTCAAATGAAATACTTAGAAATTCCTCATAAAATATGTGCGATTAATTCTATGATATTACCTTATCCAGATTCGTTGTGTCGATAATTTCTATTTACAAAATTTTCGCTAATCAATCATAATTTTTCTTTTTCTCGAAGAAAGAATTCAATTAGAAATGTTATTTCGATGAAAGAATATGAACAGGAAACAATAATCTTTGTTAAATATTTATTTTATGATAGGTCATTTTTCATCTAATCATAGAAACTCATATAGGAATTTCTCTTTGAGAAGTATTGTACTCATAAACTAGACTCATTAAAGCTACAAAAATTTGATAAAAGCAACATTATACCTAATATGAAGTAGAAAAAAAACATTGCATAGATGTTTCTAAAAAGATCTGTTTCAGTAAAAGATTCAAAAGCTGTAGCCTTTATTCGAACTTTCACTCCTGATAGAACATTCAGAATAGAAATAAATGATTTTAGAATGATGCAATAAATAAGAAAGTTTATTTGAAAGCTTCTCGACATTTCATAAAGATTATTTATATTGGAATTCATTTTAAAGAAATAGTATAAAAATAAATTGTTTACCTCTGGATCTTTATCACCCTTTTCATAATGCAATTCTAATCGATTTGGATATAATTTAGTATAACGTATTTGCCATGAAAATCCAAATGTTCCCGTATTCTTTTTTAATTGTCCTTGTAAAATTAAATCAGATGTTTTTTCATCATCATAAATGTTATTTTGTTTAAATTTTGCACGTCGTTTTTGTTCAATTTTATCCGTTTCTTGATTAACGGTATCAAATACTGTTTCTAGAGTAGAAAAAAGAAAAATGCCACAATATGAAAATTTTCATTTAATTTCACCAGTTATTTCTTGTTGCCACCGTTCTGATATAACGATTGGAAAATTTTTATATAATTCTTGATCAGCTTCAGTTAACTAAAATCGAAATTCAAATAGAACAATAATAAATCTTGATATAATGGAAATATATATATTTACTTTTATTCCTTTAGTATCATCTTCGTCAAAATTTCCAATATCAAAAGCATCAGCTGCATTTACTTCACCGCGTGGTGGAATCAATGGTGGAGTTAATTTTAATAAATAAACTTGTTTCCAATCGATATCTTTAAAAAATGGATGTTCTTTTACTTCTTCAGCTCTAGAAAATTATAACTTAATCAAAAACAAATCTGAAAAAACACAAAAGAATAAACTCACATTCTTCCCATACATCCGAGACGTTTATCGACATCACGCTGAAGTAATCCTTCTAATAGTGTTCGCATTTCATTCGTCATCGTTTCAGGTAATTCAATTGACTAAATTTAGATAGAAACATAAATTGAAAACCCCAAAAAATGAAACAACAAATAAATTTTTATTCACCATTGTCATGGTCATTTTGTCGATTTCTTGTTTATCTTTTGTTTTATGTTGACGAAATGGACTATGCCTATAAAATAGAAGAATATTTTTTAATGCAATTATTGACAAAATTCAATTGAGCAAGCATCTTGTAAAATTAATCATTCAGAAACAAATCCTTGGAAACTGTCATTCTCGCTCATGTATAGAATTCGATTCAATGTGTATATGAGGTCCCACCGCAAACTGAGCTGATTCTTGTGAAGCTTTTCGTTGTTGTACCACCTGATATGCTTCAGTGTTCCTATAAACATATGTTTATTCTCTCCGGAAGACAAACTCTAGATGAAACAATCCTAATGATTATCACCACATTTTTTGCGTTGTTAGGATGGTTTTTTCTTTTATATATGTGAAGTTTCCTCCAGTTACAGAATTAAGACAGATAAAGTAGCATATCAGTTCAACAGAATATTTTGTTCTCTTCTATTACGGTTATTCGTTGCAAAATTAACTTTCGAAATACTTTTAAGCGACAGGCATAGTATCGTATGCGTCCAAGTTTTTTGTCAAAAAGTAATTAAATTTTATAATGGAATGATCAAGTTTCGAAAAAAATCTCTTCTAACATCGTTAAAATTAGTTTAATTACAAAACTTTTTACTAAAGAAATAAATTGTTTTTCTCAATGAATCAAACTTCTAAGAATAATGGAACTATCATTTTCTCAGTAGAGTCGATTGGAATTAGCAATCAATGTAATAAATTATAGTTATCTTAATGAAAATGATAAAAAATAGAAATAGGCGATTGTTTGGACTTCTACATAAGAATGTTTTTTACAGTTTCAAATGAAATATCAATAGGTGAATTATATTTTTTTCATCTATCATAAAAAGTTTCTTCTGATTCACAATAGTAAAGATTACAATCAACATGACTGATTACAAACATGAGTCAAGATGTATGTAAAAATCGAAGTGCTGATGACAGAATCATTGCTGAGATTTAAATTCATAAAAATAAATCTTATTTGATGCTTTATTTTGTCACTTTAATATAGCTTAACTTTTTCTTAGTATTCATTCAGTAATAACTAATGACATGTGTAGTTCATAGAAATGAAAAACAATATTTTAATAATAAAACTAAAATCTTACCCTTTGAGTAATTTATAAAGCATACAACCAAAAGAAAACCAATCTGCACTGGAATCATAAGCCACACCTTTAGCTAAAACTTCTGGTGCCATGTAACCATGTGTACCAACACTTGCATGCGGTTTTTTCTTTGAAAAGTCACAAGCTAAACCTAAATCTGATATACGAACATGGCCATGCTCATCAAGTAAAATATTTGCTGGCTATTTTATTTGACAAATAAAAAGAAGAAAATAAAAAATACGAATATTGAAGTTTATTTAATTCTACTTTAAGGTCCCGATAAACAATTGATCTAAGATGCATATGTTCTAATCCTAATATGATTTCTGCTGCATAAAATTTGACTTCTTTCTCTGAAAAAACTCCATGTTGAGATAAATGATAATGAAGATCGCCACCTTAATTCAAATTTAATAGAAAAAGATTAATTTTTCGTTTTAGTCAACAATCTTTACCATTCATAAGATCAAGAATAAAACAGAGTTTATCTGTTGTATGAAATGCATATGTCATACAAACAATAAATGGACAGCCTTCCTCCTTGACAATGTAAAACGAAAATTTTAACTCAATATAACAATCGATGATTATGATAAAACATACTCCTGTGCTGACAAGTGAAAGCATAATACGTTCATTTAATGCTAACGTTTCGCCTTGTTTCATTTTGATACGTTTCTTATCAAGACATTTCATTGCATACCTTAAAAGTAGCTAACGTAAGTCACATTTCAAATTAACTAATATCAAAACTTACATTTTCCCAGTATCTGCTTTTCTGCAACCATATACTTCTCCGAAACCACCTCGGCCAATAATTCTGTGTACACTAAAATCATTCATTGTTAACTAGACATAACAACAAAAGAGATAAAAAGAATGTATTTTTCATAGAACGTATTTCATTTTCTTTTAATTCAAACCTGAATATTGAGTTCGAAATTTTTCCATTGGCAAAATCTTGTATATTTTTCGGATTCAATAAATTTATCGAAAATTCTTCCACGTAATAAATCACAAATTTCTTTTTTATAGGGTTCAAATAAATTCGATGGTAAACTATTTTTCGGATTATTTGGATTATATTTTGATAAATGCTTTTTCACACTTTCAATAGCTCGTTCAGAATAGGTCTTTAATAAAAATTAAAAATAAATATTTTCAATACTAGAAGAAAATCAATCAATAAATTTACATGAGAATTCGAAAGTAATTCTTTCATGATAAATTGATCATAAATTTCTTTTCCAACTTTCCATCGTTCTTCATCTGTTTCAAGTTTTTCAAATCTTTTTATCTATTAATTAATTGAAGTAAACACAAAAAAAATTGCTTTTTTCTGTTTTCTTTATTTTTAATTTTAATCTCAAACCTCTTCATAAAACTTTAATTGAGGCACAGGTTCATCACATAACGTTGAACAATATTCTTTAAACAGAAGAAATCCTAAAAAGCAAAACGAGATAATAATAATCTGTTATTGTTCGACTCATCTTTCGAAGTTCTTTTGCATGTTAACCATTTAACTCTCACAGAATGATTACCCCTAAGGATTTAATGTTCATGAGTTTAGAAAAAAATCATTATCAAGAACACTATCATCACCTGAAAGAAATGAAGACCGGAGGGGCTTACAATAGATGACACTTTTATGAACTCTTCACTTGTGAAAAAGAAGAGGGAAAATACTGTTTCTTTTTTAGAACGGAATAAAAACGATCAATGTCTCTTTACTACACGAGAGATTCATTTACAAAACAAAGTGAGAAGAAAAAAACGAGAACAAATAATCTCGTCATATTATACAATTATCGCCTTACCCTTGTCTTGGTTTTCTCTTTCTTTAAGAATTTGAGAGAATTAAATTAGACAAATAAAAAAAGAATTATTTCTTATATAGGCCGATCGTATACAATATTTTTTTCTTCGAATAACAATCGTCTAATGAGAAGGAAGAAAATTTTTTTTTTCTCATTGACCTATTCAAAAGAAGAGATAAAAACGTGAAGAAACAAACTTGAAAGGATTTTATGTTATACTCAACAAACTATGGTAGATTTCGACAGAAATAAAGCATGATAAACTAAAACAACATACCAATTTGTTGATTAAATATTTTGTCAAATGTATTTTCATACATTTTTTGTAGGTGCTTGTGTGTAACACTTCGTACTCTATTGAAAAAAGCGAAACAAAAAAGAATAATCAAATAGAAATTATTAAATGAAATCATACGTTCGATCGGGTAAAACAATTTTTTTGCTTGCTGAAGCCGCTGGTGTGGATTTGGATTTCTCCATTGCCATTAAATAGGAAACATCGGCTAATACAGCTTCAAGATCTGCCATATTCTTTTTTGTATATTAAATATAATCAAATAGAAACACCCAAAAAAAAATTTTTTAATATTAATTCTCTTATATTTGTTTTTGTTTAATTCATTCTCTTGAAAGAATTGTTTTGCCTATAGATTGATTGTTTATTGCTTTTCATAAGACTTTTAGATAATATTGGAGACCATTGATAAATATAAAAGATTTCATTAGATCAACTAAACGCAACAAAAACAAATAATAAACAAATATTTTTTTCCTTTTATCAATGTTCTTTGTTTCGGATAATCAGTTGTTGTCTAGATGTCTCGCTGAGTTTTCGGCTGAATGATAATGCCATTAGTAAATACGATTGACCTTCACACGAATGCTTCTAATTTTGTCAAAATAAAATAATTTTATGTTATAGAAGTTCTTTAAGGAAAACAAATTCATTAGATTGAATAAAGAATGAAATAAAAATATCATTCGTGTGTTTTTACAATAGATGTCGATAGTGAGGCTGTTTATTTATATCTATCAAGTAGAAATATTAAATTTTTCTATATGGCGTTTTTTTTCAAAAGGAAGAGAGATCTCTTGACACTTTAATTATGTTCTTCATGCTAACACTGTAATGTGAATGTGTATGGGCTGATGATGTCAATCGACACAAGAATTATAATTTATATGAACCACATTGTGACAATAATAGAGCAAGAATAAAAAAGTTGAAAAATGCTGCCACCTTAAGTTTTACTCCATATGAGCTTTTTGTTCTTAGTAGATTTATATGAAAATAAATATTGTTTTTTATTAGAATTCAATAGATATAAAGTTTAATCAAAAATCGGAAATGTTTCTTTCTAAATTACATTAAAAGAAATTAAAGATAGAATATTTACGCTGGCATAATCGATCTTTATATAAATGCAATGCATGATTATAGCTTTGATCCATATAAGACTGTTATCATTATGTTTTGAATGAAGAAGATTTTGATGGTGAGAAACTCCTCAGAATGAAATTCTAATTCATTTAAGAAAAATTTGCTATGTTTCTATGCGATGAATTTGAATAGATTTAACAATCTAGAGAATGTTTTAGATGATTTCGAGTCAAATTTTAGGATCTTCACCAATGTGGAGTCGTGCATTATGTTATCGGGTATCTATTGTTAATTTATTTGATGTATAAGATATATTCTAGTTTCTTTTTTAAAGTTTGCTCCTTTTCTCATGCGTTCTGGCTCTACATTATCAGAAGAGGCTTCAGCGAGTCGAAGTAAATTATTTTACATTTTTACTATTCCATGAGTTATTATTTGTTGTTTTCGTTTTCCAAAGATAAATCAGCAAGTCAAAGAAAATCTGACTCGAAATATTTAGCCAGTGACATGTACAATTATACAGTATTTAGTCATTATGATATTGAAGCATCAATGACCAAATATCGTCTTACTCAACCTTCATCTCATGCGCCATTGAAACATGAACCAAGTCCACCAAAGAAATAAAAAAAAAATTGAATTGTGTTTTTTTGTCCAGTTTGAAAGAAAATTTTTTCCCTGAGAAAACTGAAATAAATCTTTTCCCTCATATTGTAGATGTTTTTATTGTTGGTTTTCTTCATATGTTTCATATTGATAGTCGCTCCGTTCATTTTTATTCGTTTAATATCATCGAAAAGCAATGAAGAAAATGGAAATTATCTTTTAGTTATTGCACATCCCGATGACGAATGTTTGTTTTTCTCACCTATTTTACTATCACTACATTCAAATAAATATGTATTATGTCTTTCAAATGGCTATAATCACCGATTAGACGAGCTACGTCGTTCATGTATGCAGCTTGGTGTTAAAGATTTTAAAATAATTGATGATCAAATTAATTTAAAAGATGATCAATCAGTGTTGTGGTCATCCGATACAATATTAGGTCATGTTAAACAATCGATTCGTCAATGGAATATTTCAACAATAATCTCATTCGATTATTATGGCGTTAGTGGCCATAAAAATCATTCATCGATTTACTATGCTTTATTAAATTTACCTCACATGAATCAAATACATTTTCTTTCGCTGCAATCAACACCAATCTATCGAAAATATTTAACTTTGATTGAACTATTTAGAATTTATCTAAAAAAAGAATCAAGATCTAGGAGAACATTTGTTTTACCAGTAAAATATAGTTTAACACCACATAAAGCTATGCTTGAACATCGTTCTCAACTTATTTGGTTTCGTTATTTATATTTACTTTTTTCTCATTACATTTGGATTAATGATTTTGTATTAGTTTATTGAAGAAAATATTAATACACATCTTTTTCTTCTTCTAATAAACGAATTTCTTCATATTAAGTAACGTCATTTTAATTATAGATTGCTTTAGTCTTTAATACATTCATTTGTCTTAAATGTAGTGAAACTATAGGAAGTTTTTCGCTAGTCTAATTTCTGAAAATAGAATTAGTCACATGTTTACCATCGTGTGTAGAAATAGCTTTATCAATACAAATTTTCCTTTAGATTAAATGTCTAAAAATACTATAACATATTAAACTTGTTGAATAAAATACATAGATACTCGTTATGAAATATTTGCATTAGAAAGAGATACAAAACGAAACGCATATTTATCAATATGCACGAGAAGTTACAACTATATGAGTAAAGTATGATTGAGATTATTGCTGAGACATTAAGTACTTAACTTAAATGCAAATTGTATTTTAAGTAGCTAGTAAAATTTACTATAAGATTTACCAGATGTCAAGATTTCATAGTTCAGATAGTATAAAGAGATTTTTAGAAACTTCTCTTTTTCCAATTATTATTTAAACGCGTAAAGAATTTTGAATAGTATGAGATGGCGTCACTACATGTTTTAATATTTTCTCTTCTTAAGTTAAAAATACGCATTTTCTAGGTAACGTTATTGTTTTCATGGTTTCAACTGTCTATTGTAAGATTGTAAAAAAAGGATGCTAAAAAAGCATGTGATGATTTTACCTGTTATTCCGATTTTTAAAATTTATTAAGATAATTCTGTTTAAAAAGAACTACCTATTACTGACATTGTCTGAAATTTGACAATTACTACGTTTCAGTTTTCTATAAAACTTGCAGAAAAAGCCTATTAACTAATTTTGATACTATATAAATTACTTTTAGAAGAGAAAGCTAATTTTATATAAAAAAAAAACCCGGATAATACTTCTTTGGATAACTTTGCGCAGTATCATACAGTAGAACTCTGATATAATGATTGTGATGTTATAATAATTTGCCTCTGATCTTTTATGTCTCATTACAGTAATAAATTCATGCCGCAAATTCTTCATATAATAAATGTGGTTCGGCATTTGTGTTCTCACTACATAAGTCATCTTTAACTAAAACATATTTGACTATTTACTTCAAGTAAAATTATACAGTATGGTTATGAAACTGCAACTAAAGAAAATTCTTTGTCCACAAGTTTTTTTCTTGAGAAATACACATTTAATTATGTGTGATCTATTTCCAAATTTACATCTATTATCACTAGATTTATTTATTCTTTATATGTATTTTATCTGCTGAATCCAACATATTTTTGTCGATAAAATCAATTGCTAATTTTGTATCAAGTATTACAATAGCGATGCTAATATTTATTTTTAATCAAAAAAAAATTTCAAACATTCTTTCAGCAATTTTGGCTCGAATAAATATACGTAGTTACTAGTTTGAATACTTGTTCGAAAAATAATTTTGATTAAACTATACTCTGTGAAGTTTTGATGTAATTAACAACGTAAATTGTTTTAGTGTCTGATTCAAGTAAATTATCTTAATCTCCAATATTATTTTTATTAATATTTATTTAACCTGAATAAATCATAATGTCATATGAGAATTCTCGACGATTCCTCGACAAATGTTGTTACACGCTATAATGACAGATGTATTAACATTAAAATAAATGCTTAAATACTCGAGAAAAACTCTGAATTAATTGATAATTAAACATGAGAAAGTGTGAAATTAGAAAGATTGAGATGCAACTACTATCATTGAAGTAAATAAATTTAATTAAATGGAAAAAGGTTTTTGTTTTTCTAGTTGGTGTTTTTTTTTCAAGAAAAGAATAAGAATGAAACAATGAAAAGAAAAAATTGAAATAAAATCTGACTCTTATGAAGACTGTGAGGACAATAAAAAAAAATATTTCATTCTATGGAAGTATCTAATTTAGAGATATGATAAATATTTGGTTTGAAATAAAGACAAACGTTCAGATCTTTTTTAACCACAATAGTCTTATACTAAGATCAAATAATTTATACCATTGATCATTCAGTATCAACTAAACGATTCGAAGTAAAAGATTTCTCAATTCAAATACAAGATTCTCTTACGTAAATCGAGTTCATTTATTTTTACTTGAAAACGAACTTCTTGTCGTTACGTTAATTTTTTGTATACGTATAACAAGCAATTCATCGATGAATTGTACTTCACTATATTACATGTGTGGCATAGTTATCAGGTAGTTAACAAAGGTCAAAGAAACATCGTATGCGCATTCACATTAGTCAATTCGAAATTGCAATAGATTGCAAAAACAAAATACGGTGCCTATTAGAGATTTTACTACAATTCTTACTAAAAATAAATAGTATCTTTCTTTCATTTCATATTCAGAAAACAATATATAGACGGCTACAAAGAAAATTAGTAATTCATAGATTAATAAAACGTAGGAACTTTATTTAAAGCTTTTATCTAGCAAGAAATTGTTTTTCCATCAATGTTTCCTGTTAATAAATTGTCTTATTTAGAATGGTTTTCGTAGAAAGTTCGCTCACTACATGTATGAATCAGTGATTGAGATTAGCTTTACTTGGTCGGTGGAAAACATTCAAATTGTTTTTCTGCCGAAAATTCTTACAGATAACTGTTCGAATGATATTCAATTGTTTATTTACAATAAATTTTTATTTCATTATTCGTTTTTGCTTTTCAATCATTACTTCTCCTGTTTAATCGTCTGAATACAATTTTAATGACAACTTTCCTTCTGTTTTCATTAACGGCGCAAGGATGATTGAGTATTTGTCAGTTAAAGTGATCTTTTGTGATGGTTTATTAGAACATAAAAAGGCACGTTTTGAATATTTTTTGTTCTCTTTTCCCCGTATGAATCACATGAAGAAAATCGTACTTATAGATATTATCTTATCCGCAATGCACTTCAATTATATTCATAAATGAAGGTATGAAAAACAAGCAAGCGACGAAGATAAATAACAAGCAATATTTACGGATGAAAGATTTCATTTTCATCCTTGCAAATCATATTTTCATTTAGATATTTTTAACGGCTAAGGGGTGCACTGTACATGCACTTCCAACACTTCAAGATATAATTGCATCGAACAATATCATGGCTAATATTAATGATACAAAATTGCGTAGCAATGAAGAACAAGAACGAAGTAAAAGTACAAAAACTCTTGTAATTATCACATCGGCTGATAATGGTAATAATGGTCATATTCTTTCATGCTTGAATTCAACCACTATTGAAAATTTTATTGTCGCATTAAATAATACGAATAGAATGGGTGAATGCCAAATTAATAATATAAATAATATTGGGCCTTTTTCTTCAGCTGTAGGAGTTTATTTAAACACGACTGTTAATCATAACAATTTCTTTTTTTTTTCATTTTTTTGAGGAACAAGAAATACCAGTCGATAGTTATAAAACTACAAATTCAAAGAAGCGGAAAGCTGATTTGACATGTGTTATTTGCGGTGGTCAAGCCACCGGCTTCAATTTCGAACAGATTTCATGTGAATCTTGCAAAGGTTTTTCATTTAAATTTTTCAAGACTAAAATGAATTCTTTTTTTATTTAGCTTTTTTTCGTCGTAATGCATTACAACCGATAGTAAATAGTTTTTAACTTTCTCAATAGCTTCGATAACTGATATTTATATGTTGAGGAAAAAATTGGAAAACCATCAAAGTCCGATTTTGTCAGGAGAAAAGTAGAATTCTGTTATGAATTACTGTTTTATCGGGCAAGATTGCAATTCGAAACTTGCTTGGAGGGAGTTCGGATGTGACTCGGGATAAATTCATGCAATTACGTCTTTTAGTAATAGTATCGTGAAATGAAAAGAAAACATTTATTGAAGAACATAAGCTTTATGTAGATGGATCAACCGGCGATCGCACTTGTGACTGTAAATTCAATTGAGCTAATAAACAATTCATGTAAAATAAAGGCAGCTTTTCGTTCGACAAAATCTCATTTGAAACCAGGTAATTGTACAAATATAGGCTAATAGATTAAAGTATTTTGAAGTATGATCTGTGTGTGAAAATGAAAGAAATATATTGTTGAATAAAAATAGCTATTCTATACAGACTTCATTTATTGTCATCGTATGCGTTTATCTCTGGTTGACTCCTAATTTTATCTAGGCACATTTCAAATTCCATTTTTTACCAGACTAAAACTAAAATTTTAACTCTGTCAGAGCAAAGTCGGACTCTGAGCAGATTCTGACTTTTCCTCCAATATATATATGTAAAATATTATTTTAGGAAAAAACGAAATGTATTAACTCCGATGATAATGTCCTTGAAATTCGATGTAATATTCAATATGATATCAAACATAAATGTCAACGTTGTCGATTATTGAAATGTTTACAAGAAGGTACTGAACTTTTTGCGATATCGGTTTCAACCTAATTTAGGACATACGTATTATCATTAATATCAAGTATTTGTCATATTAAGATTGAAGGAATCTAAAATTTCTAAGTAATTATGAAATATGGTTGCTTTTAATCATATTGGATGCTCTTAATTTCAATGAATTAAGAATGAAAACTAAATAAAAAACTGAATAATTACTAGATCGTATGTGAACATCAAAGTTCTTTCAATTTGAGGAACACTTTGATACTGTGCTATAGCCACATAATTTGTTTTCTATTTTAATATATCTATGTCTACTCACAATTGTGATCGATCATAGATTTCCAAATATTCCAATCTCAGATATTTCTAAGTTGATTTTCAATTGATCCATACAAGTATCTTCCAAAAAGATTTATTTTCTTCATATAATCATGTTTCTTCAAATATTCAAGAGAAAATATCATGTGTTATTGTCTCCTATGTTTGTTAGGTTTTCTGAACAATATGTACATGCAATATTTATTTAATGAAGAAAAAATACGAATTCTATACTCGATAGATCTTGGAAAAAAGTATACTGCTTCATCATTTTGACAATTGTATTTTAAATATCTCGTACTCTATTTTATCAGAGAAAGAAAACATATCGATCTATAGTTTTCGTCAATGATAGAAAACGATACAGGCAGATCAACAGCTTTTATTGATTCCATCTTAGCTTACAAGTCTGGCTAGACATGTGACTTGATTTTTGTGAAGATTTTTCTGGACTTGGATCTTGACTACAGTTGTGATCAAGCTTTACAATATTGATTTATTTAAAAATAAGAAAGAAAAACTTCTTCGTTACTTATTTTTAATAAATATTGATGGATCATTTAAAATAAATAGAATTTGAAATATTTAGGTATGCGTAAAGATTTTATTGTAACTCGAGAAAAAAAACAAATAAAAGAGAGACGTTTGGAAGAAAATCGTCGATCAAGTTCTGAATTAATTAACAAGAATAACAATGTAAAAAGTGAGAATATCATTGAATCGAAAGCAACAGCTCGAGCTGATTTATTAGTAAGACAGAAATTAAATTGATATTGTCGAAATCTAAAGAGCAAATTTTATATTTTAGTTTGAGAGTATTCTTTCACAATCATCAAGTTTTCTTACCAATGACGATTGGTTATGTTTATCACACATTCAAAATGTTTATTTTTCTGCATCTCAAGCAACGCCATCAGCTTCGTCTGCTTTTTCTTTTGAATTATCACCGGATAGAGTGACTACTTTCAAGAATATCATTGATGTAAACAATTTTACTGCCATTAAATTGATCAATTTTCTTCGAGAAATACCCGAATTTCAACAAATTGATGCACGAGATCGTTTGATACTTGTTAAATGTAATTTAACGTTACTTCTTTTGATACGTTATTCATCGAATTTTGATTCAGTACGTGAACTATCATATGATATCGATACAGCTGGTCCCATCTCACTTGCAGATGAAGCATTTGCTGAATATTTTAAAAGCTTTTTTATTCTTTGTTGTGGTTATCAATTCAATCGAGTTGTATTGTCTATATTTCATGCTCTTAATAGTATAATTAACAAAGATCCAATTATGACTCAATTACTAATGATTGTTATGATTTTTTCAAAAGGTTTATCAGCTAATGATGACGATGACGAACAATTGCTAAATGATAGAACATGTATCTTCAATGCTCAGTCGAAATATACTGATTTACTATTTCGATATTTAATGGAACAATCGTCATTCGAATTAGCTGTCATTAAAATGACACGTATTATTGAGCAATTATTGAAGATTCAAATAGTTGCAAGAGACTTTCAACAACATATTAAAAATGAAATGGATGCAACATATATTAATCCACTGATGAAATCGCTTCTTCATCTTACATGATGTTCTTTTTCGTTCTTTCTTAAATGTATTTTTATCTATGTAATTATAATAAAAAGATTGACTAGCTTGTTCATCTCTTTCAAGTTTAACAGAAAGATTCATTTGATTTGATTTTTTCGGACTCATATTCTTGTGTAACGTCTTAATTGCGATCGACGGTTGAGCCAATTAAAACATCAGTAATCAAACTTGGAAGCACACAGAATCATATTGATCTATTTTTCTGCGATTCCAAATTGCGATTATTTTCAAGTTTCGAACGAATGAGCGCAAAACTAAACAATATGACCGAGAAAAACAATATGTATACAAGATTATAACAAGCTCATGTTTGCAAAAACAAAACATATTCAAGGCAAGGATTTGGATATTGATGAGAAATTTTTACTCACTATTTTCATCGTTAAATTGATATTTTGAAAGATTCTAAGGAGATTAATGATGAAGAATAAGTCGTTTTTTTTTGTTAATAAACATTGTTTTCATTCACCACAATTGCTCATTCTTTCATAGCTCACCATTGATGTGTTAATTGACTGCATTTTTAGGTGTAACTAGGGCGTAATGTCAATTGCTTTTCAAGACTATGAGAGAAAGTCGAAGGCTTAGAAAGCTTTAATTGTTAAGTCATGAATGTCATTGTAGAAGTAATAAATTAGCGAAGATAACTTGTTGTAATGCGAGTATCCAAAATGTCATAAAACTTCAATGATTTAATATTGTAATTTAAATTAAATATTCTAAAAATAACAATTTACTATATCGTGTTATTTCCCGATGTTTAACTGAGAGAAAAGTAATCAAATTGGTTCCTAGTCATTTATTTGAAAGCATACGTTGGTTAAAAATTTCCATAGGAGTATTATACAAACATACAGTCAAAGAAAAACAGAATTATAGCCAGTAAGAGTTACTTGCTTTTTTTTCTCGTTTCGGAATGCCAGAAATTCTTTTTGATTGTCCAAAAACAAATCACCAATGACAAAATTTTCTTCTACTTGTTTCTTTATGCATTATAAAATTGAATATTAGTACATATATATGTTTATAATTAGCTAGTTGCTGATAAATAAATAGCTACTAAATTTCTCAATCGTCAACGCATTCATGAAATGCGCTTATAATGATATAGAGAGAAAAAAAAACTGAAGTCAACATTTTCAAATACATCTGAGAATTTTCAAAATAATATTAAAGAGAACAAATTAAAATATGATCCATAACTTCGAATTGGTCTTGTTTATTTGATGTTAAATAACACGATCATGCTATATGTATGTAGATAAGCAGTGTCCCCACTGTTTTTTCCGTTTATAAAGAAAGAAAAAATGTTGTCGCACTTATTTTTCATAGATAAGCCATTTCCTTCTCTCTCTCTCAGTCGTAAAGGAAAAGATAGAATATCATAGTGTTCAAATAGAAGTAAAGTTGACGTCAAATAGCAACCGGTGTCCAAGGATCATTATCAATTGTCTTCTTATTTGACATTCGACAAGACGCGTTGTGTCTGAGGCAACAATCACAACTATCGATAAAGAAAAAACAAAAGAAACATTTCAACACATTCATTCATTTACGTTTGCTGATTTTTTCTTTCTAGTACAAAATGCTTTGCTATGGGTGTCATTCTTTAATTGATGAGCCCTATTATTTAATGATTGTTGATCACAGTTGGCATGCATCATGCTTAAAATGTATCGATTGTGGAATGTTACTTGAACACGAATCATCATGTTTCGCCAGATTAGGACAAGTTTTTTGTAAAAATCATTATATGAAGTATGTTTTTTTTATTGTTCTTTTTTTTCTACTACAAAAAATTCTTTATTTCCTAGAAAAAATTGTTCTTCTACTTGTACACGATGTCATAAAATCATTCAACAAGATGAATTAATAATGCGTGCTAAACGATTTATTTTTCATTTGAACTGTTTTACATGTAATATTTGTAATAGTCGTCTTCATCCAGGTTAAAATTTTCTTTCAACATGAAAAATTATTTCTATGAAAATTTGTTTCTTTTAAGGCGATGATTATGGTCTTATAGATACTCAAATTTATTGTCTGGATCATTTTCTAGACCAAGACTCTCATGATTCGCATGTAATTCTTGATGATTCAGGTTATCATACATCACCAAATGAAACACATCGATCAAAAAGTTGTCAACAAGAAAATGAAGAAAATTTTCTAACAGTTTCGTCAGCAGTGCTTTCCTCATCATACTGCATTGAAATTGATGATGATTCATACAATAAAACACATTACACAAGACAAAAACGTCTTCGAACAAGCTTCAAGCATCATCAAATACGTTGTATGAAATTATATTTCAATATAAATCACAATCCAGGTTTGTATTTCTTTTGCTTTCTCATAACTTATAATAGAACTTTTACTTCTGATTAGATGCCAAAGATTTAAAAGATCTATCGGAAAAAACTAACTTACCAAAACGTGTGTTACAAGTTTGGTTTCAAAATGCTCGTGCAAAATATCGTCGAAGTAATACATCATCAAACGAAGTTCGAACAAATTTATCATCGCTAAGCAATAGCGACGATTTATAAACTAACAATTTCAATATTGCAGCGCCGCGTTTCGTTTTTTGGCTAGTCATTTATGTATAGCATATCTATATCTTAATATTTTCATGTTTTCTTTACTATTCAATTATTAAACATTAGTTGGATACCAATGATAGAAATATTAGACTGATCTATTTATTTGTATATCTTTAAATGATTATATATATATATACGTAACAATGAGCTGATCATAAGATTCCACTTTCGAAATGACTGATTTATGCAGAGAAGATTCTGTTGTTAGTGTTTATATTTAAGCTAATTTATTTGTGTGTTTATTTCTGGCTTTAGTTAGTTTAATTTAAAAAAGTCGAAATCAATCAGAATGTGTATCGCCTATGTATCTTCGATTTTGTGAAAGGGCCCTCTCCTTCATGAGAGTGCCATCGATAATGAATTGATTAATTAATTCTCACAGCACAACAGGATATGATCGATGTAACACTTGCACACGGTGCTATCAGAAACAAATAAGTAGACAATAACAGATTAGTGAATACGAAACAGGACGAAAGAGTATTTAGCTGCAATAGATACAAATCTATTGAATTGCTAAAACAATCTTTGATTAATTATTATACTAACAAAGACTATTTATATATATATATATATATCTATCTATTTCTATTTCTATTGATTCTATACCTCTACTGTACATTTAATTAATCTGGAACTTGGTGATAAAAAAAGTCACACATTAAAAAAATATCGCTTGAACTTTGCTAGATTGTCGTTACTTAATCATTCGTAAGTAAACGATCAAAACAAAATTGATTCGAGAAATTTAATATGTATTTCTAATAAGTTCATAAGTATCAATGAATTACGATGAGCTTTTTCATGTAACTTAGTTCATTATAGATTGAGATTAAGATTTAGGTTTAGAAATAAGGAGCAGATTCATTACTAGTAGATATTTAGTTGAAATATATCTTCTGTTTTAGCGTATTCGTGTGCTTTAGATATCTTATGTAAAGAAAGAAATGTTAGTAACAAAATAAATATATGATTCTTGAAAATCATAATTATTATCTAGATTAAAAATGAATTCTAGTTAAAATAATTATTAGTACCTTTATCTATTGACGATACGGCGTTTAACTTGAAGATGAATGATTAGAGCGCTGAAGAAAAATATATTGTTCTTATGTATTTTGTTTTTGTGAGTCGAATGAACCATACGTATGTTTTTTCTTCTTCAAACGACTTGATAATTTCATTCTCAAAGAATACCCCCAACTGAGCATAAAAAGATTTCTTCTATATTCCATATGGTTTACGGAATATAAGCGTAGCTATATATTTCAAATGATAAAAATCGAACGTTGCAGGTATAATGAGGAAAAAACCACGAATTTCTGCTATTTATTAGTTGATGATCATATCCATAAATTAAGTAGAAGAGTTCATCGGAGTAGTTTTCTACTGAAATTTTGAGCATTAAAATTCTATTTTCGTATGACATACAAAAAAATAGAATCAGATAATTAATGTATAGTGATATGAATTACTGTCGAAAATAGGGATCTAACAGTACCATTTTGAGACACATAAAGATTGTCAATTTTCAGAATGAAAATCTACCAATGCCAACCAATACTTTGCGTTAGTTATAACCAGCTGAGTTAGCTCTATCTGATAGGAGTTGTTCACGAATATTCACCAATACTGGGGATCTTTTCTGTTGGTATTGGCATTTTATATACTCCTATCAGATAGAGCTAACTTCGCTGGTTATAACTAACGCAAAGTATTGGTTGGTTTTGGTAAATTTTCATTCTGAAAATTGGCAATCTTTATGTGTCTCCTAATGGTATTGTTACATCCCTAGTCGAAAAGAAAAATTGCTGCCCCGATTGTATCAATGTTTTTATGTGATTTTTGTTAGTCTTTGTATTATTCACTGGAGAAGAATTGATAATGAATTTCGCCTGCTCGCCAGATCTACTACAGTTTCTTTCAGATATCTTCTCACTGATTTTCTATTTTTAGATTAATGTTTTTTCCTTCTGTTTAAGTCTCACAATAAGAAAAACATTCGCTTATTTAAGCAATCTTTCGCCTAGAACATGTTTGATTCCTGAACAGCTTGTTAACGCAAATTAATTAGTGCAAAAAAATGAAGTTTAAATATATTCTTGAGTCGAACTCCAAAGAACTATCTTATTTGTTATGCGCATCATGGTGAGATGCACAGGTTGTGTGCCTGTGATGCATTGAACTTACTTTTTGTTCCTATCTACAACATGGCTTTGTGGTCTAATATCGCGCTTTAAAACTTGCTGTCACTATCTTCTTTGAAAATATATGTAACGCTACAAAAGTCATCAACATTAGAATTAGAGTTGGTGAATAATGAAAACTCAAAATAATACAATTTTTTTCTACGTTATAGATTTGTGTTCATATGACACTAGTACTTTTTACATAAGAAAGAATTACTTAGGAAACGTAGACTTGAAATTGTCGAACTGTAAGTTCTTAATCAACATTTCTGACGTGTTCCAGTAAATGTATTACATGAATTTTAGAATTCTACATTTCTGAGAGTTATTTATACGATTAAGGTAGTGCATTTTGCAGTGGCTATCACTAAAAGAGCTGTACAATAAATTTGTTTTTCTTGGCTAAATATTATGTTTTCCAAGAGTCAATTTTATATCTCTATTCGAACAGTCAGTTTTCAATGAATATTTTAAACGCAAACTACAAAAAGCATTTTTTAAACATCATGAAATAGAACATCAGTCACGTAATGTTTTACAAAAGCATAGATTGTTCATCTGTTTCTTAAGTAAGCGAACTGGGTCAAATCAATAAAAGACAATGCAAATAGGAAATATAAAAGAAAACTGTAAAAATAATGAATTGTCTTGTTTCGTTATTTCACGACAAGCAAACATAGTTTTTTTTCATAAATGAAGAACTTTTATTTTACGAAGTTATACAATACAAAAATAAAAAGAAACCAATAAAATATCTCTGTTAACTTTTGCTATCACCAGAATCATTACCACTGCCACCACCACAACATGTGCGCTCATTTTTCGGTTTTTCATCTGGTTTACCTGGTATGTTAAGTGTATCACTGCGTCCATAACTGCCTGGTGAACGTGGTTGTAATTGTTCAGTATGTTTCATGATCTTTAAAAAAAAACATGGAAAGCTAAAAATTAATGCCAACCAAAAACAAAAATTCAACGATTACTTCACTGATAAGAAACCGAGCTGAAGTTTCAATATTAATATTTTCTTTAGCTGATGTTTCAAACCAATTAGCAAATCCTTTTGCTCGACAAAATTCGTCCATCTGTTGAGCGTTATTGACTAAACCTTCTTTAGCCAAATCACACTGAACATTAAAAAAAATGAAAATTCTTTCCAAAAAACGTATCCTCTTCAAAATCTACCTTATTAGCAAGTAATACACAGGGTACAGGATTTCCATCAGGCAATTGAACTTTATTATCCAAATCCGTTTTCCATTTAGTAACTGCTTCAAAAGTTGACCCTCGTGTAACATCGAAAACAATAAAACAACCCACCGCTTCTTTATAATAAACACGAGTCATGTTACCAAAACGTTCTTGACCTGCAATATCCTATTGAAAATCAAACAATAATGCGAAAGCAAAATAGTTTCCTATGTTCATGAAAGAAAAACTGTCATACCCAGAGTTGAAGCCGAATAACGGTATCATCATCGTATTTGACAATTTTTAATGCAAAATCAACACCAATCTATGAAGAAGAAGAAAAGAATTATTAAATTAGATACAAAAAGTGTGTTCATATTCTACAGTTGCTCGATAATGTTCAGAGAAGAAGTTATGAACATAACGTTTGACGAGCGCAGTTTTTCCGGTAGCCAATTCGCCAATAACAAGAACTTTGAATAGGTATTCTTTTTTCTGATCCATATTCGATGTAGGTGCAGTTGGAGTTGTTGTCTACATAATGAATATAAGTAGGATATTGAATACAACGATGAATATATAAAAAACACAAAGTCCTAAGTATGTGGGCCATTTCTCTACTTACCATTGTTTTTAATGGGGTAAAAATGAAGAAAAACGAAGACACGTATATGAGCTTGAATCAGTAAGATATGAAATAAAAAAGAAGCAGATAAGAACTCATCGCTACGTTTTTATATACGTGTTTACTGAATTAATCATCGAAATAGATGTTTGTCTTTTCTTACGAGTTAATAACATGAATAAAAGCACAGCGCTACTTTTGTCATCGTCACATTAACGAAGACGTTTTTTTTTACTGAAGATCATAGAAGATTAAAAAAAAGTAACTACATATCTAATATATAGAATGTTCAGAAATTCACTAAGTATAGAGAAAGTTGTATATCTTCATGATTCTTCAACTAAATGAGCTGAGTTTTTTTCCTTTGGACAAGACAGATAGAAGTTAGGCTTAACTGGTTAACGATTCATAAAGGTCTAGCTACTAATTTTTATATTTCTAATGAATTGCTGGCCATTCTACATATATATATATATATACTTCGACATTTTTCTTCTCTTATTCAACATTCTATCGTAATCTTGAATCTATGTAAATATTCGCTTTCTATGCTACTTATTTCTGCATCATTATTGTAATGCTACGAAGTCCAGTTTGATAGATATATGTTTGTGAAAAAATGACTGTTGATAGCAATATTGTTCGTTTTGTTTTCAATATGATAATATTGTGAGAATGAAATATATGAATATGCCTATGGAGGGAGTACTCCAAGCAAAGATACGACGTGTTGATACCACGTTTGTAAGGTCTATAGTAAAATGCTTGGAAAAAAGCTCAAAGATCATGATGCACAGTGAAGTAGTGAGACTCTGTCAAAAAAGAAGACATGGTAAAGATGTTTCTTTGATTTGACCTGTTCAATTTTTCATAGGTTTTCCTGTTCCATTTTCAAAATTAACAAGTAGTCTTCGCAAGATAATATAAAGCAGCAATGCGTCTATTTTAGTCTAGTCAATCGATTGTTTTCATGTCGCTTTTCTCCTTTACTCAAGAAAAGTCACTCGAAAATTCTGTCTAACGATTTCTCCCGAAAACATAAAATACTATATAGTGATAGTTTCTAGGATTGCTTGATATTTTTCAAGTGATATGTTTTTTTTTATGAAGGTAATATAATAATGATAAATTGGTCAAAGACATTATTGATAAATTCGATTCGATGAAGTAACTGAACAGATTTAAAGCTAAACATCATGTACTGCTGCTGTTAGTTTTGCTGGAATTTTTTAATTGCGTCGTAGAATAATAGCTTATGGCGGTGATAGTAGTATTCAGAATTCAAATAAACTAACTAATCTAGAGTAGGCATAAGACTTCACCTATTCTTCTTGATTTTTCTTTTCCATATTATCAATTTAATTCACCATGTTTCTTCATGTTAGTTTTTGTATTTTCGTCGACGCTCCTTCTTTTCTTTTGACTTCTCGTTGTGTTTCCAATGAACACACGAATGTTTCAATACGATAGAGTATCAATCAAAAGCAACCTCAAGATATAGTATTGATTTATTTAATAAAAGAATAAAATACGAATCATATCCACTGTATAAATATTTATTGAAACAAAATGTATTTTTGTGTAACTCTAACTGAATATTCCAGCAGTCAAAACAAGCCGATTTGGAAATAACATTAAAAATTTGTTAAAATTATCATATGATACATAATATATTAAAGTCAAATGAAATCGTAGATGAGTTTATTTATAGGATTAAAACTGAACATAATATTATTTTTACTCTCAGTAATTCGATTAATATTCAACTCATGAAAATAGTTTATTAATGTAAACAATATCTTGATAAAAATTCATCAGTGCTAATCAAGATAGATATTTTTCAAAAATAATATTTTCGTTTAGATTCTGTCTGGTATAATTGAATTTTTCTTTTATGTCGATAAAACATTAATTGTTATATTTATTTGCGAACTTTCACTCCGGCAAAAAGCTTTCATATAGTTAATTAGTTCATTTCACCAGTTTGTTTTATTATAAGAATAATCAATTTTCATATGCGAAGGAAAAAAAAGATATACTTATTTATTTATTTGCTTTTAACATTTAACAAAAATAAAAATAGGTCTTTTAGGTAGTAAACTATAAAAACAATCCAAATATCTATTTTCACAAGGTTACCGAAAAACACAAATCCGAATATTCATAAAATGTCCATAAATCGATGAAATGGAGTAGTTGTATTTTATTGAGATACTTTCTTGAAAATAAAAATAAAAAATTTTATACTTTAAGTCGCTCAAAATACAAGTCAAGATGAATTTGTCCATGAGACTTTGAACCCAATTTTCCGTTGAGCTCAAACCATTGATTTATATGCCCTAATAACAAAAACTCCATTGATCACTAACTGTAATAAAGAATTTTTAAAATAAACCTTTCTGGTATAATTCATGCAAATCAATTTGAACTGAGCCAATCTTATCATTTTTAACTGAATCTTCGTCATACACTTCAACGTGAAGAATATCTTGTCCGTATAAATGATTACTAAAATAAACGTACATTAAAAAAGAAATAAAATCTCGATAGAAACAATTTACAAAACAAATGATTGATTCCATTTTGGATTTTTCGCATCTTTTTTTGCTTTTGTTTTTTGTTTATAATTGGAATCATCAAGATATATTTCAACGAAAGGATCATTTTCACTCAATATATCTTTTTTCTTTAAATTTTTTGCTTCAACAACGGTCACTTGTAATTGAGCCATTACTCTATCTAAAATAAATTCAATTGCAATCATTTTTTCATCAGAAACGTAAAAAGTCATTCTATTATTGGTAACATGAAAAAAAAAGCGAGAAAAAGAAAATTTTTGTTATACGATCCCGTAAGTTGATCATTCGTTTATTGTTTGAAAATATTTATTATAGGAGCAAGAGAAAAAAAGTCGTCCGTCGATAGAAAATAGGGAAGAAAATACACGGCAAAACCATCTAGTTATACTGTATCAAAAATAGATTAACTAATCATTAATAGTTGCCTATACAAAGTAGAATTCTATAACTGATATTATGTGATCATCTAAGTATATAGACCAATAGCGACATTTCTGCAGTGACAGATGTGTGTCGTTACAGTATATGTACGCTAGGTTGTATAGTTTTAATTTTAATTTTCATATAAAAGCTTAATTCAGCAGATGAAAAATCAATCATCTTACGTTTTCTATAAATATATCAGTAAGTTCTTGATTCTTATCCCAAACCTTTTTTTAAATATAGCCATTTACTTCTCTACTTTTCAAGAAATTTTCATAAGCAAATATGCATGTCTTATACGCCAAATATTCGTGTCAATATTGAAAATAGTGAAAATATATGATTATTTCAATGAGTAACAGTTAATTTCTCACCGGAAGACGAATGGTGATTTGATTGAGCATTTAAAATATCTTTGTATTCCTCGATTTGAGTTTATAAAAAAAGATATAGATTAGAATATAAATCAGTTTATGAACTTACTGCGATTGTTAATGAAATACCTTTGTTTTTTTCGTCGATTTAAAAATGAAGCAAACTCTGATAAGAAAAAAACATGATAAGGTGAATAATTGTTCTGCATTAATTCGAATACTTTTTTTGCTCTACACGACCTTTCTCTTTGCATATTGACTCTGTTAATATGTACGTTGTCTCTCGTTAGATCGACAATAACATGACTACAAAGCAGCATTTTTTTGAAATCCTCAATAAATAACCTCACTTTTTTTCGTTCTAGCAAGGTGGTGTGCCTCATGTGTCTTCGCATATTCTTTTTAGTCCTTACATAATGATCTTGAAATCATTCATACAATCCTATGAGTAATGTAATTCGCCTTGTCAACCAATAGTTTCTTTTTATAATCGTCGTTTTCGCTATTAAATAGAAGTCATCATTAGAAAGACTACCAACTCATTTCTACTTATGATTCTAGAGATCATCTTTGATTAAAAATCCAATCATTCTTAAATATAAAATAAAACTTCTGTAAAAAAATTCAATGAAGTTGAATACATAGTTTTTAGCAACGTCAGCACAATATCTGTCAGTTTTAGTGGATCTATCAATCTTGAAAAATAATATTTAAATGTAATGATATCTAGTAGCTTTATCGTTATCTAATCGAACTATAATGCAGACATACTATTCTTCTATACATCGATCTGGCTAAGACAAGCCAATGAATGCTTCAATGTCAAATAAGTATATTTACATTACTATATTTAGAAATATTAATAAAAGTTTAATTTGTTTTTATGTTTAAGAACAAAACGATGTATTAATACAAAAATTTCTATTATCTGGATCATAGAGAATATAATGCAAGTATATGTTTAGTTTAGTGATAATGAGAATTGATTAAATATGTATCTGTATACACCATTATTTCACAACAAGAGATAAATTACTCTTCGATCGGGTTAATAAAGCCGTTCACTTACATATCTTTTAGTTTCATAGCATTTGCATTACTAGAAACCTTTGAAAAACAAATTCTGACGAGAAAAAACGATCAAATTATAGTGTCTTTCTGCCTCATACTGTGACCATGATCAGTTTCGAAGAGTTTGAAACACGTGAAAAAGTCTGAGGCCGATATTCTATGGACGAAACACTATGAAGCAGTTTCAGTAAATCTATGAGTGAAGTCACCCTAGTTCTACTAACCTGTATATTTGCCTCGGCAGGTACATTTGATAGCTAGTAGAATGTTTTGAAACTTTCAGCAAACATGGAGATATCATTTTGATGTTTTCTATTTTCAATTAGACTCGATTACTGTGTTCTTCTATCGCCAACAACTACTCTAGGTATATTAAATATGTTATTAAAGAAAAGATTGTTTTCATTGAACTTTCAAATCATCCGCATGACTATCAAACATGCCTCTATGCAAAATTTTAAGTAACAACTTTTTGTTTTCATATGTTACCATAATAAATTGCTAGGATTAAAAATTACATTTAAAGAGCAATACCAACAGCAGTTCTTTATCAGAAGGTCTCATGACCTCGAAACTGTTTTTATAGTCTCAGCGCATTCTTGATTCTTAATAATATTAAGAATCCGAATAATATTTAATAACTATTGATTCTGATGTTATCTATGTGTCTAAGGAAATGTCAAGTCTTGCAATACACACACTACTTGCATCCTGTTTTACTTATTTAAAAAAAATTTCTTTTCTAAGAAACCAAATCAATTTTATTTCAACTGCTCATCTTTTGGCCGACTTTGAGATTACCCTGAAAAATAAATGCAAAACTAATACGTTTAGAAAACAAATTGAAAATCACCATTAGATTATTAGGAAAATGAAAAATTTTTCTATAGTTCACTGATTCGCAATGTAACGTGCTAAAGACGAAATCTATTTCAAGAAAGTAGCTAGTAAATAGTTGAAATTTGTTAAATTATTAGCCTTATTAATTTGAAAGAAGGAAATGTGTTCCATGAAATTCATTGGTCAGTTTCTTTCCCAATGTTGATCTCTAAACGAGCGAACTCCGAATGTGTTTTCTACCAATGTTTCGATTTTTTTAATTAAATATATCAATTGGATATGATCTGTAATTTTTATAACTTTCAAATTTTGTTACTCTAATCATTATGTTATTAAAACATTTTACCTAATATTCTGTGTTCAGGAAGACCCATGCTCAGCACGATCTAAAGAAGCACTTTCTCTTTTTTATGATTACGGATAGAAACCAGAGCTTTATTTTTCAGTCAAAATGTTAATGCTATGCTAAGAGCAGAACTTTGTTTTTACATTTAATCCGAGCAAGTAAAGTTGTAACATAGTTTACATGAGATGTAATTACGAGATTTAATTTATCTTTTTATCAAATTAATGCCAGATGAGTTTAGTAAATCTATAGAGTGTCTCAGTAAAACAAATCTAGCTTGTTTCTACGAATTTAAATTTAAGAAGATAAACGCATATTTATTTCAGTAGACGAAAAACTTATTTTTAAATGTTTGCAAGCATTATTAGGAATCAAATTGATGTTTGAAAAGTAATGGACTGATTTATCTTGTCAAACAAATTTCTGACATACTCTCTTGAATCAGTTTCGTTTCTAGTACACACTACATAGCGAATCAGTGAACTATATAGAAGTTTTTAATTTCCTAAGAATCGAATTACTGATAGAGCAATGACTAAAAATGTACCTATAGTATTTAGTTCATATTTGTTCGAAAGAGAAGTTCAATGAGAAAATTTTTCTAGGAAAATAATCTACTTAAAAAGCTATACAAATCCTGAAAATTTCATAAAATTTAGATGTGAAATGCTGAAATAACTGGTGAATTCCCATAGTGACACTGACATGAATAGAAAATTTTAGTTGTGAAAAAAAGATAATCATTTTAAAAAAAGCAAGTTATATACTGCATGCTCGTTCGTGTCTTGTTTCTATTTGAATACGACCGTATGATCTTTTTCTCTGTCACAGTAGTCTTCTTGGATTGTTCTGCTCTCAACTATTATATTTATATGTTGGATGTTTTCTTTGCTTTTCTGCGATTATTCTTCCGCTCATGTTGCTCAATGGATTTTTAATTTCTCTATTCATGCTATATATATATAAATGACTTGTTTTGCTCATTACAAAGATTGATGTATAGAGGAGCGGTAGGATCAGTTTTGATTTTTCGAAATTTTAAACGAGCCGCATCCACTTCAGGTATGAAGATATATTAAAACAAATAGCAATTGTGATAACGATTGGAAAAGTTTACAGTCAAATTGTTGCTCTTCATTCATTACTATCGAATTTTTATTTTACTTACTTAGCAGAAAATGGATCCTTACGTGTAGTTCCATCACTTCATATTTAGTTTCTTGTATTGATTATTGTTCTGCTCATTTATCTTAGTAAAATAAGTATTGAAAATAAGTAAAATTTTTATTTGAATAAAATTATATATTCCTTTGATTTGTTCCGGTTTTTGCTACTGTTGTTGATCTTGTTATTAGTATTATTCTTACATAAACAACATCATTAAATCGTAATCTAAATGTGTGTAATGTAGTTCATATTGCTAAATCGTAGCTAGTAATGTTTCCAATAAAATAATATTGATACATACGAATGAAATAACTGTTTATTTATGAACAAGAATTTCCAAAGCAATACAATGTGTTTGAATTCCCTAGCAAGAACGATCAGAAATGTTTTCAACGATAACAGAAGTGATTGATGTTGCCTTATGGAATAAAACCCTACTCGAATCTATTCTTCGAATGACAAATATGACAAATATTCAGAAGATAAATGCAATAAACCGATGACAGTTAATCAACAACTCGGTGCATAGTTATAGATGCTATGTTTTTTCACCGGTAGATGGTATCTATCTATATATACATATGTTTGGAGGGTGTGGCATAAATGTATTGGCGCCTTACATCCTTCATATTGCTTCAGTCAATAGAACATTTTTTATATTAAAAATTAATAGTTACATTGTATTGTAATTTTTGTACTACATATTTCTTTCAATGATTCTTTGAAATTCATTATCAAATGCTTCCATTTAACTTTCTGTATACTGTTGTCACATAAATTCCAACAGAAAAAGTATAATACTAAATACAATAACATATTTCTATTATAAATTTACGACACAATACTGCTAATGCCAATTAAATTATTTATTCAGTATATAAAAGAATTTTTTGCTGTGATCCTTAAAATTTTCGTTTCTGCACTACTTGTTACATATGTAGATAGTTTTACAGATATATTCAGTTATACAATTAGTAGAAAAATTATTCATCAATCGATCAAGATTTTACTTCTATCAATGTTAACTTTAGTGATATAAATTAAGCAAGCAAGTATTAGAATTTAGTTACAAATAAAAATGACAATAAACGACAGAACACAATAATTAATAATTATGTTTGTTTTATTTACTTGTTTCGAAATTAGACTACCATATCTATTCATATAAAAATCGATAGATGGATCGATTAAACAAATTGAAACACAGTTAGATGAATTATCATTGTGTAAATAAATCGAACAGTTGTCAAACCATAAAAAATAAACATAAAACTAGTATTTGATCAACAGATAAAATAAAAATATTTTTCTTTTTCTCGGTTTGCTTGAGTAACTGAAAAGGCTTCTTGTAGATTTGTATTATTGGCGTAGCTATATAATCATTTCTTCATCAATAATGTTGACACGTTGGCTCTTCTTGCTCATTCTTATTCGAGTTCTCCGACCAAAAAAAGTAATGAAATTATGATTTATTGTTTTCTTTTCTACTCATGATTGCTTCTTGATCTTTTTGATTATTTTCTTCTGGTATGATTTTCTATGAGAATGAGTCGAGCGGCGCCTGAGTATTATTTTACATCAAATGATATCGCCAGTGAACATAATAGTAGATTAAAAAATTATTTACAAACTCTTTCAAACAAAAAACGGTCTATCTTAAATCGAAAGAGTAAACGACAATATAATATAATAGAAAAAGATCTTGATAATCATAAAGTTTATTATTATGTTCCAGTTGAATATGGAAACAATTATGATTTATCACAACTTGATGAAGAACCTATTGATGAAGTACGAAAAAGAAGTTATTCACCAAGATTAGTTCGACGACGAAATTTCGAACCCTATAATGATAATTATCCTGAAAAGTTACCAATGATATCTTCTCGTCCACATAATTATGTTTCGCCAAGACGACCACATGTTATTCAACGAACTTATTATGAACCATCACCATCACAAACAAGTGAATATATTAATGAAAATGATCATAGACCACGAAATGAAGAACTTTATGAATATGTTGTACGAGAACGAATGCCAAGACAACGAGTATGATTAGAAAAATGAAAAGCTTTTTCTTGAATGTTTTTTTTAAGCATATAGTAGAATCACATCCTTTTTATCATACTACTCAAGGAGAAAATTTGCATTCAGTTTCTCGTTCACCTCATCATGTTGATAATTCCAATCGGCTGTCGCCTCGAGCATTACCTTCTGCGTCACAAATAATACCACTTCATCTAAATGAATTATTATCTTCGCGTCGTTCAAAAATGAAACAGCAAGCTTCACAAAGAACAAGAACGATTCATGAGTCATTAAATAGATCATTAGTGCAAAAAACAAATGAACACAAACATTTTTATTTGAAAGATATTCTTGCACAAAATCGGGCTAGACGAGGTTCACGTATACTGCCACCACGACGTGAAATCGACGAAGAAGAATTACATGAGAAGCCGTTAGGCAATAGAGATTTTATAAAGAACGATCTTCTGGTTCATAAATAGTTTAACTCTTAACGATTGATCTGTTTTGTAGACTAACAAAAATTTAGAAGAAAAAAACAATTAAAACTTTTATATTATAGATACCTCATGATAATTAAATATTATTTAAATAAATACTCGATGGAACTAATTGCACTGAAAAAAATAGAGAAAAACAAAATTTTGTATTATTCATATTGATAAAGACAAATTTGGTAAATTTTCAAGTTTAAATCGTTTATCTTCAACAATTCTTGCCAGTCTATGATAAAAGTTATTTGATACGCGAATAGCAAAAATATTCTTAAATAGTGAACTTAGCTGGAATTCAAGGAATTCTTAGTTGTACTGTAAATAAATCTTAATCATACACAACCGATAATTACTAATGAGAAAAAAGTAAACTAGTTTCTTTTTTATTATTTACTCGACATATAGAAATCCATCTAAAAAAGGAAAAAAATATTTTCCTCTGATCGCTAACACTAATATCTATATTACCTTCTTTTTAAACTTTCATTAATTAATTTAATTGCTTTCAAGTCATTATTCAATCATCGATTCTATATAAATATATCAATCTAGTTCTTGTAAAGAAAAATAAATTCAATCAAACTTCTTTACTAAATACTCTAATGTACAGATTTTTTGTTGATCGATTAATGATCTTTGTTTTTCTTTTTCGATATTAACTAATCCATGCCTAACATGATACTTGTTCATTCTAAAATGTGTCTATTGAAATATTCTTTATTACAAATGAATTGTTAACTATGATAAAGAGGCTACAGCTTGATTGCGGACATTTTATTCCTCCAATTAAGAGAAAACGTTTGCAAAGTAGAAACAGAGGGAGAGAAACAAAAATAGTCGTAGAGTGGAAAATGTCCGCAAAGCAGAATCGGGGCGAGAGGAGAGAAGAAAATGTCAGCATTACGGAATCAAGACAAGATTTATTAGGTGAAAAAAATACAGAAAAATCATTTATGAAGAATAGTTGAGCATCTAACTGTGTTAGGTTGATAATCAAGATTCATTCCAAAATGATAATTTTTAAAAACTATAAGATCTTTATTAGATTGTGTGGAAATTGGAGAAAAGTTATCATCTTTCACAATGGACATTTTTATTTGATTCGTCTAGGTTTAACTTCGTCACTTTCAATGTTTTTCTTTCACAATAAACATGCTTATAAAATGGCCAGGATGACATGTGATGAACAACACTAGACTAGCTCGAAACAGTTGATATTATTCAGTACACCTATTTGCATGAATCATCTTAAAATCTCAATTTTCCTTTGATTCCACAATGCGTACATTTTTTGCTCTCTTTCCCCCGATTCTGTTTTGCGGACATTTTCCACTCTGCGACTATTTTTGTCTCTCTCCTCCTGTTTCTACTTTGCGGACGTTTTTTTTCCAACTATTAAGAAAAAACGTCCGCAATCAAGAAGACGCGGATAAAGAACATTACATCTGTAGATGCATCTATTTTATTGAGTCTCTCTCGTGTCAATTGACATTGATTACGTATAATTGATAAGTGATAAACTTTAAGATATTGTAAATAATATGTTACAGTTGACATGAGAATTTAGTTGAGATTGGAATAATAAATTTAATTAAAGATAGAGAAAATAGACAAAAAAGAGTGAAGAAAAGAAAAGAAAAACGATTTTTGAAAATCGAAATGCCAATAAAGTTATATGAACGATGTGGAAATTTTGTCGATGAGTTAAATTTAGCAAAATATTTTCTAATTAATCATAATTTTAATTTCTTTTTCAAATTGGTGGCCAAAGCAAAAAAAACAAATTTTACTTCTTATTTTTCAATTATCTCAATGCGCTCTCATATCGCTTGTATGCGCGTCATATAGTAATTAATGTATCTTGTTCAACTGATACTTTAATATTAAAAGGAAATAAAGTACTTCGTTGGCTATGATATTAATATTACATCATCAAATAAATATTTATTTATCCTAGTTTTACGTTCTAAAAAATTTAGTAGAATCTATTAAATTCTAATTTTTTTATTATCATTTCGTTATTAATTTGAGTTTTAAGAATCGATCTTCGTCACTATGCAACAGACAATGATCAGCCATAAATTATGAAGTTTCTTTTATATTAACTTATTTATTTTTTTAACGAAGAGCCATTGTTGATAATAACACATCAAATGGACTAATATAAGAAACATCTTTATTAATTTCATCAAAAAAAAACATTTACTTTCCTTCTACATCATTCGAATTAAAAACTGTTCCATCCCCGTCGCAGCTGCCCGAGACCCGTACTTCGAAATAACAGTAGCGAAAATCTTTTTCTTTTCTTCTAGTACAGAAAGAAAAAATCAATGTCCCGAGCATTAAAACATGAACATGTAGTCAGAATCTTTGTCGGTTTTCTCTCTTCAATCAGGAAAAATAGACACAATTAATCTTGGAAACAAAAACGTTTTTTTTTAGTCTGCATGCTGAATCAAATTATCTCATATTACTCACTAACAAAATTTTATTTCTGAATCACTTTCTCAGAACATTTATAGAATAATCAATAATTCCAATCTCAACTAGATTCTAAACTCTACTGCCACATATATGAATAAAACCAAAAAGAGAATTACGCCAATGATTGAAAGACTGAAAAAAGTTGTTTCTTCAGACATTAGTTCGAGATAAGAGAGAAAACAATCGCGCGTAAAATCATTGAAAAACCCATGTCGAGAGAACACTGGCCATTGTCAAGAATCAAATCGACTATATATTAGCATGATTTGAATTACTATCTAATTGTGACTCTTTTTATATCGATTACAGAAGAATTCTGAGATAGAAAGTCAAATATAATTTCTAAAAATATTTTGAAACTAAATAAAGTTTGTTCGGTTGCAACTGTTGTATAGATTCAGTTTTACATGAAAGTTTCAATGCTCGATTAATCTGAAGTTAGCAAAAGCATCATTTTCTTTTGGTCACAGCAATGTCATATATCGGTATTGTTTTACCTTCAGCTGTTCATACATATCATTTCTTTCTTTTATCACTGCTTTCGACATTACAATTGTTTACTGAAAGTTAACTACATTCTGAATGATTCTAAAAGAAAATAAACACCTATTTACACAGACGAACGGTTGTTTTCATCTAGCTATCTTCTTTTTCGATTTCAATTCGCTTCTTAAGAACGTTCAGAGAACAACATATGTCATTAGTACTCTGAAGCCTTCATATATTCATATTTTATTGCTGTAGAGTAATGAAATATCCATGAATATAAAAAGTATTTTAGAGTTTTCAATTACAATCATATAAATCAAGTTTAAATGAACGAAATCATTTCTCTTATTGATATCACACTAAGAATATTCAAAGATCAAAAAAAGAAAAGCTTTTCTATATTTAATCACTCATTAGTTATAGATTCATTAACGATTTCTCGAACATGGAATGATAAAAAAGAAATTCTGATCAATTCCTTGATATCTCTAGTTTACTTCATTGGAATAAAGTCATCCACAATTCTTAAATTCACTAAGAATAACAAATATATCTAACAAATTATACCATTGGACGCCTTGAGTTATCTTATAGCAAAGTTGAAAATCAAACAATAATTTATATAACGATGATGTTTTTCCAACAATTCTTTACATCGAATGTTCGCAAGTTATTGGAAGTAATAAAAAATATAGGTGTATCGATATGTTGCAAAATGAAAAGGAAATATTTGGTCGATCGTTCATCGACGGCATGTAACAACGTTGATACTGTACAATGCCCGCCCGTATTGCTCATTTGATTTTTCCTTTCTTTTCTGACACACATATGAATATCAATATAAGAAAGAGAAAACACCACTGAAACGTTCATGTCGATTCTGATAGAAAGGAAGAAAACGGCGTAAGACGGTGTAGCTACTAAAAAATTGTTTCTCCAATTCTATTGTACTGTCATCAAAAGTGAACACATGACTTTTCAATATCTAATACTTTTGGTTATTCTCATTATTTTCTATTATCAATACTTATACTTTGTTCGTCCAAGTTCATTATCATCAGTACCACTACTACCACCATGTACATGTCGAAATCACAAGAATGAGACGGTCGATTGGTTTATTATTTATAAATTGCCACATCTTGCACATTCAATTGATCCATTTGTTGCTAACGGTACTGGATATATCTATTTGGATAGTTCATCGCCATTAGACAAATGGTTATTTTCATCACAAAGTATTGATTCATCATTATCATTAACTGGTTTGACATTAGGACCATTATATAAATTTAAAGAATATTCATATCTGTTTTATAATGATCAACCACCAAATATGCCGGTTTCATTGATATATGGCCATTCAAAAGGTGTATTAGCATTTGAAGATAATACACAAACAGGATTTTGGTTTGTTCATAGTGTTCCACATTTTCCACAAATCATCGAGAAAGGCTATGATTATCCAGATTCAGGTATATTTATATGATAATTAATCATTATTATTTTGAATTTAGAGAAGTTTTTTTCTCTTCAGGTCGTATATTTGGTCAAACAATGTTATGCATTACGCTTCAAAGTACTTCTTCATTATCTGTTAATTCGATTGATTTACTATCAAATCATTTTCTTTTTACACGTCCATTGGTGTTTGATTCAAGTTTAACTCCATCGGCAACTAATCGTTATCTAATTCTCGCGAATAGTATTATAACAAATAAAGGTCATATAAATGAGCCACCCTATACGCATATTTACACTTTAAATACTTCTTCACTTGAAATCCTTACATTTGCTAAATATGGGTTAGCCAATATGGATATGCTAAGTGAATTTATAGTCCCATCTCTTCGTACTTCAATGTTAAGTGAAACATGGTCAAATGGCAGACAAATGAATTTACCATCAAATTGTACAGGTCAATATCATACAGAGAATATTGAAAAACTTTCATTTAATTTTACTGTTCATCATGATCATTCAAAATGGCTTGTAAGTAACGATGGAACTTGGACATGCATTGGTGATATGAATCGACAAGCTGAACAAAAAGTTAGACATGGCGGTTTTGCTTGTATTAATGATCGACGTATTCAACAACGATTCCGACAACTTGTTTCAACGATAGAACCATGTCCAATTAATGAAATATAATTTTCTCTTTGATTAAATGTTTCAATAGATATTGTTAGTTGCAGACATGAATCTTGATAATCGAACATTAGTTGTACCAGATGTTATGTTTATTATGTTAGATTTTATAAAAATTTATAACTGCGAACTCTGCTAAGCTTTATCAGGAAAAAATAATATTTATATTATTTACATTTGTCTTGACAGTTAATAAACAAAATAATAATAATAATACATCGACTTTCTTATTTCACAAATTGAAGTTTAATTTTATACATTTGATTAATGACAGCATTCATTGACTGATAAATGTTAAGTAATATTTATCATTTCTCAGTTCAAATCTTTTACACTTTTTATTCATCGATTTTGGTCGTTATCAAGTAATATTTGGATAAACAGCGCTAATCGATTGGTGTCCATCTTTATTCTTGGATCAACAGCTGCACATTGACTTTCAAAAATTGTAATAAAAAGGAGGATTTTTGATCATGCGAACATTTGATTATTTATCTACCGTTTGCTAGAATTTGTATGTATGTGTCGAGTTGATATACTAAATGCATCGATATAACTTTCAAAATGTTTGTCAAAAAGGTCTTGTTCAACTTCGGTGTCATATGTTGTTCATATACTTCATTCATCGAAAATCGATGTTGATGATTACTACAGTAATCTTTCCTGAATATATCAACGGCATTCTTACTTGTTTGAAGATGAAATGCGTATGATGAATACTAATATTTGCATTGTTATGATTCGCCCATTTAAGAGAAATCATGACAGAAGTGTTTATATTAGTAATAAGTTCCGAGAAAAACCATTGCTAGTTATGTATTCAAGGAATATTATTAAAAAAACAGCGGGAGGAGACAGAATAATAGAAGTTTCGAAAAAAGAAGTTTCTGATATAAAAACATCCAATGCATTTAAGTTTGGCAAATTAGCAAAAGAAAACACTCAAGTGAAAAACAATCTTCATCGAAGTCTTTTTCATATTTTGATTTCTAATATGACTACAAAAGTGTTATATGTTTAATGTTCTCAGATCAAGTTTTAGTTTGAATTGAAATTTTGCCTGATAATATTGAAACATTAATCATGACGACATTTATTTCGTTAATAATACAATTGAACTTCAGAACACTGCAATCAATCTTACACCTATTATAGAATATAGTATATTCATATTTCTGTGGATGTCTAACAACGAAAAAAGACTTCTGTTTTCACATCATTATTTGTATATTTATTTTGAAAAACAATTATATTGAAGACAAAAATACATCTTTTATAAATTTAATCATGATACAAACAAATGCATAGTTTGTACATATTTCCAACAAACAATACACGATGGATATTTTTATTTCATATGTTGATAAAAACGATGCAGATGTAATGATTATTTGTGAACTTGAACTAAAATAATCATAAAAAGTTGAATTTTTTGATAGAAAATCTTGACATTAATGATTTGGGATAGTATGAAGAGTTTGCTGAAGTACAGTTTGAACAAGTTTATTTTTTTCATGTTGTGGATGTCGAATAAATAGTTTCTTAAGAAAAACACGCACTGGTTCATTGGTATATATCAAAAAGACAGCATCAATAAACATGGTCAATGATGGAAGTATCTGAAAACATGCATCGACAGCTGAAGGAATTGAGTTGTTTTTACCGAACGTTTGCGTTAAACTGGCGTTCATCCTACGGAGAATATGGTAAAGGTACCAATCATGACTGTGAGTAAATGAATATCTCTGGTGTATGATACTCTACTACTTTGACCGCTTGTATGCGCTTGGCGGCTTGTTTTACGCACATACAGAAAAACGTGACAATTACAAATGTCAACAATCATAGTTGGCAAAATAAAAGTATTTACAAGAATATAGTAGGGTAAGAATGTTTCTACTGTAGAAACTGAACATGTAAAAATGTCCACAAATAGGTAAAGTAACGCGGCAATGATTGAGATGAACCAACCGCAACCAATAAAACACCGTGAACATACTGTTGAACGAAAGAAATGTTTACTTGTATAAACGATTGTGAACTGTTGACTGAAAGCAGCCACACCATGTGAATACATCATTAGACATGCAGTCATATCAATTAAATATCCTTCAAAACGACATGGTAAAATATTTGATAAATTCTGTATTCGTTTGATTGTCATCATTAACGTAACAACACTGAGCAATGCACTCATGATACATATATTGATTGTGAACCAATTGAGTTTGCTTCTACGAAATGTTGGTCGAATAAGTTATGAGAACAGTACAGAAAATGGTGAGTATTATTGTCAATGAGAACAGTATTAGTTGAATAAAATCAAACACAAAGCTTCTTGAAAAGTTAGACTGACTAACTCCAATGCCATTGATAGGAATGGAGACGTTGCTAATATTACTTGTCATCAGTTTTATTGACAAATAAAACTGGGAAAAGTAAACGACGTGTGGCAATTATAGTTTCTTCGAATCAGTTATACATCCGCTCAAGTTCCGTCAAAAAGAAACGTTTATAACAACCAATCTATCATCGGTTGCATCAAACGAAGGATATATTCGATCTTTGAACAAAAAATATGTTGATTTAAAACATGTATGGTTTCAATAAATATTTGTCATATGAAATTTGCAAGAAAACTAGAGTCCCAATATGTGAGATTGTTCATGAAGTTCAGATATAATCACTAATAATAGATCAATGCCAACGTAGATGTAAGATGAAGTTAGACCTCGACAGTTAGAATAGTATAATGAGGATAGAATATCAAAGAAAAACTATATAAATCATGTAACTCATGCATGATTTATTCCAGTATCATTTTTTTTACACGCCATACATAATGATATTCCGTCTTTTCTTTAAATAAAAGTTAGATTGTTGAGACAATTTTAAGTTGACATGTTTTTCTCTTCACATTTCATTTCACTTCTTTTCTGCTGCGATGATATTCAAAGAACGTTGTTCATTAGAGTTAGATTTTCCATTGGTCGACAAATTTTATCTCGATATTTGTTCACGATCGGCAATTTATTTAAAAGACTTTATCTTCTCTCGTGCACTTTAATAGACACATAACAAAGGACTATGGAATTTTTTGACGTTTACTCTTTAACTCGGAGACATTGTTTTTTTATGATAGAATTTAATATATTTGATAAGAAGAAGTAGCAATAGCGATTCAATAAACAAAAAAGAAATCAATCTATGATTTCATCTCTGACTTTGAACAGGTTGATCCTGTTAGTTTAATAATGAATAAGATTGTAGTAGAAAATATGAAGCCTAGTGGCACAGTTACTCAACAATTTACTATTGCTATTTTCTTACAAGAAATAGCTAGTATGATGACGCTCTTGAGTACAACAAGAACTTACTATCATATCTTCGTGTAAAACAGATATAGTAGTAACACATACATAATATAGAACACGAAACTGATGCATCCATGATGAACGTAAACGATTGTATGTTGATAGCGAAATTGTATCGGTAGTTTTTTTTGTTTTAGAGAATCTAATACTCTTTAATTTTGAATAGAAATCTATCGTGTCTCGCGAATCTTTGAAAGGTTTCCTATGGACTAATGTGCTCAAGAATAGCATCGCTTTTCTTCAAATAATAACTTTTCAAAACGTTCGTCCCAACAGAAATGACGGCCTATTATACTAATTTCTTAGAATTATTATGAACAAATTGTATACGATCATCATTGACAAAGCGATATTTAGCAATCACATTGCCAATATCTATTTTCGGTTGTTATTCATATCGCACAAGTACTTTATTTCAGATGAAATACTTCAACGAAACGCGAAACAAATGACTTGTTTCTTATTTCATAATTACACTTTGGTATAATTTATAGCTTCGTCATCTTGTTTTCAGCCTTTGTTTTATTTAGAATATAATAAAATTTCTCTTATCGTCAATTCATTCGATAGTTTCTTCTATAATTTAAGAGTTCAGAGATCATTGCAATAAAGACTATTGAAATGATTCCATGAATATTTATTTCACTTGTTAACCATTGATTTTCAAATTTGAGCAAGATAAGAAATAATAATCAATACGTGACCAATAATTGATTATACCCTAATGTAATCATTTCTTGAAATGATTCGCTTTACTAAAAATAAAATGAAAATGAGAAGACAATATAATTTTTCATTGAAATAGTTAATGAAGCATGAAAACATGATATGCATTGAATATCATGTACATAGAACAACAACATCGATTCGATTCGGATATGTGTTTTTTCTTTTTACTTCTAGTTCTTCCATAATATGACTTTTTTGTCCTAACCTAGCCCGATTACCTATCGCATTCTGTAAAAATTCAAAGCCAACTGTTGATCAATAGGATAGGAAAGTTGATTTGGCAATGTTTTGCGATAAAAAGAAAGCAAGAATCCTTTGATTATTTTAGTTTGTCAATATCCTGATATCTCGTATATGATTAAAAAAAGCATGTAAGTATAATTCTCGGTATATTAATTCCACTTGAACTAAATCAGATCAATGTTATTATCGCAAAAGCAAACGTATATTATTCAGATCAACGTTTGATAAAGCAATAAAAAAAAGAACAAATTTGCTGAAAAACTACTCAGCAATATCGTATTTGTCGAATAGATTAGAAGCAATGACTAATTTTTGTTATCAGTGAATCGAAAAACTGTTTTTCATTCTAATGGACTTCTCATTTTCTATTTTTCATAACAATCGTTAAGATGAATTGGTTTTCAATATTATTTTTTCTCATATTCGTACATGTTTATGCTTGCCAAGAAAACGAAGCAAAAATCATTGAAGGTTCGGAAGCATCAGCCGATGCTTTTCCATGGATGGTTTCAGTACTTTTTGGTTTTGGAAATAATCTAAATCATTTATGTGGTGGAGCAATTTTATCTGATACTTTTGCATTAACGGCCGCTAATTGTGTTTCAAACGGTGTATTTTTGCCTATTTTCTTTTCAGTCAAAGCAGGTATACATAATATGTATAATGGAAGTGAAGACGTCGAACAACTTCGAACAATATCTCAAGTAATTCTACATCCGAATTATTTAGCTGCCAATTTTCTAAATAACATTGCACTTGTACGTGTTTCACCACCATTCAACATTAAAACACTAAGTGTATCAACTATTTCATTGTCAAATTTAACATCACTTCAAAATATGAATTTAACAACAATAGGATGGGGTCTTGCAACGAATCAGTCAAATGTGTCCATGGTATCTACGTTTCTACAAGAAGTAACTATACAAGAAAACGTTGAATGTACCAACAAAACAATTGATCCGCATACACAGCTTTGTGCACCTGGTAAGGCTTTTTCTAATACGTTTTTAATTGTTTCACAATAATTTCTAATTGAATTTTATTTTTATCTTCAAGGTGCTTGCCAGTGTAGGTCAATCATAAAATAATTTATCTAAATATTATTTCATTGTTTAATATACTTTTCCCTAGATGATACTGGTGGTCCGTTGATGATTTATTCAAACTTTAGTGAACAATATGAACTTGTTGGTATTACAAGTTTTCGTAATATATGCACTAGCGAAGGGTTATTCACTCGAATAGCACCTTTTATCGATTGGATCTTGGCTACACTACAAAGCCCACAACCGACTGCGCCTACATTTCCGACGTTCACAGTTCCAACTCCAAAACCAGATGTACTTGGTAAGAGTCGTATTTTTAAGACATATTTTTCATTATCATCACCATGTGTAACTCGTTACTTTTACTAAGGTCCTCCAATTTCATTTCAATGTAATACAAGTTATCCATGTGGTTGCTCACGAATACCTGTTGTATTTCATGATGAACCACCATTTCCGTTTAATCGCTATCGAATTCAAGGAAGAATTGTTGGAGGTGAAAACGCCCAAGCGCATAGTTGGCCTTGGATGGTATCATTAAGAAGATTTAATGGACATTTTTGTGGTGGTTCTCTTTTAAATGAACGATGGGTATTAACAGCTGCTCATTGTGTCGATGGTGTTAATGATATAACAATTCATATTGGTGTACACAATGAAACATTACCGTCAATACAACAAAGTAGTACATCGAAAATAATTATACATCCAAATTATGAGCGACCTCCTAGATATGTTAATGATATTGCACTTATTCGCCTTTCAACACCAGTAGACTTTACGTTGCATGCAAATTATGCTGGTCGTATTTGTCTACCATCGAAGACATCAGGAGTACACTATCCACAAGTTAATTCACGTTTAGCAGTGATTGGATGGGGTAGATTACTTTCTAATGGTGGTCGACCTCAAGTATTGCGCCAAGTTCGTGTGAAAACAATAGCTGATAATGATACCCGATGTCTTGGTTCAATTAAAAATGAAGAACGACAGTTTTGTGCCATGGTTGATGGTGGTGGAAAGGATTCTTGTCAGGGTGATTGCAGTTTAATAAATTTTGTTTTTCTTATGGATAAATTGAATAATGAATATGAGCATCTGCTTTTATATTTATAGGTGATAGTGGCGGTCCAATTCATCAATGGCTGAATGACCATTGGGAACAAGTTGGCATTGTAAGTTTTGGAACTGGATGTGCGCAAGCAGAAAATCCTGGTGTATACACTCGACTCTCTTTCTATCATGATTGGATTCAATCAAGTATTAATGAAAATAATTTAACAGTAGCAAATACAACAATAGGGAACATTGATACAATGACTAATCCGTGCACTAACACATCAACAACAAGCTTTACAACAACAGTTCGCACAAACACAATGACTGTACCACATGCTAACATGTCGACAACAAGTGATGGTGGAAGAGTGTCTACATTGAAGACAAATCTGCTGTTGAATTCGATTTTTTATTCATTGTTTCTTTGTGTGTTATTCAGCTGATCTTTTTTTTTGAGACCATTCAATCATAAATTTTTGATTTCGACAATTCTTCACAATTATAAAGATGATCTATGAATGAACAATGCAAGAAATCAACTGATGGAGAAAAATGAATTGAGCAATTTTATTTCTTGTGCTAACTCGAAGAATATTTTGATTTTTTTTCTTTTCGATAGAAACATTTCTCTATAACTATAAAAATAAGCTGTCTCCTTTTTGCATATTGTATCAGTTAAAAATAGTTTGATTTTGTTGAAAAGCATGTAAAATTGAGAGTATTAGTAGATGTTCAGTTGAGTAAATTGAGCAATTCATGCTACAAGGGTTCAAATGGATTTAATTCTAGTACATGTGGTTTTTTATCAAAAAATCTCTGATTAATTTTTTCAAATTTTGAATATTAGATCGATCTTTCTAGTGAAAACAATCACTTATGAAGAGTGGTCACTGACTTGTGTGATAGAAATATCGAAAAACGTTAATGCTCAAATATTTACATAAAATTATGAAAATTAAATATATTTTCATATCGTTGACTAATTTTTGCTCGATCCTCTTCTGTAAGAATTGGCACTTACAATGGAGATGTTCGAACTTTAAGTTGAATTTACCAGATATTTTTGCATCAACAGAAAGCCCTCACCGCCAAACTAACATGGTTAGGGTGTGGGTGTTTGGGTGGGTATGCTTTGGTTTCTGTTGTCATATCAACCCACACCCTCAAGATCCATTTACCTTACTTCATGTCCATCTACAAAAAACGTCTATGTTCCATAATGTAGTGCACGGGAAAAAATTATAATAAATTTTTCATTGTTTTGATTTTGTCAATTTCCTTGTCTGTTTACATTTTTGTAAAAAGTAGAATTATTGAAGTTCTCAATACACAATTTCTATTTAAATTTAGTCAGATCCACAAGATTCCAGCAAAAGAAAATATATATCTTTAAATTACATTGTTGACTCAGTTATTGAAAACGGAAAAGTTCATTAAAATATCGCACAACAATATTCTAGTGTTCTAATGAATAAAGAACAATACGACGTTCGTCGCCAATGAGTCAAAGACATTATTCTTGTTTTGATGTGTTTTGTATTTTATTAATTTTCAAAAGAATTTTCAAGATTAGGTTACTTTCAATGCTAATTTTGGTTATACTCCTATATTTGATTCTATTTGTCAAGAAACTCAAGCAAGCTTGTTTGATGATTCATATCTGATATTAGCAGCATCTGTTTCTTTTTGTGTACTCAAAACGTGAGTGCACTCTAGATTCGGTCAGTGTGTCCGGGCCGTTTACACGATAGCTTCTGAAAGGCTGATCCGATTGTCATGAAATTTTGTACACGGAATGATCTCATCAATATCTCAGTCGAGTTCGAAGATGAGAAGGATCCGTCAAGAAATGGCTGAGTTATCGAAAAAATTGTCATTATTGACCAGACCATCCTTGAGGGAGTACAGGNCCCCCCCCCCCCCCACCCCCCCCCCCCCCCCCACCACCCCACCCCCCCCCCCCCCCCCCCCCCCCCCGCCCCCCCCCCCAAGGATTGTTTAAACAAGCAATTTTTCTCAAAATTTTTCACAACATATATAAATCGACTCAGTTTTTGCAGTACACATAACAATCGGATGCAAATCCAATGTTTCCGCGTTTATTTACAGAATGAATTTTGTATGCTTGTATTTTTATCATTGCCAACTTTTCATTACTATTATTAAGTCAATTAATATAGTCAGAGAGGCACTAGTTAGTAATTTAAATACAACAAGTTTGAATATCCTTGACAACCAGATAGTTTTCCTATTTACTTATTCATTAAATAGGAATATTGTCATCATTAAATATGTTCATGTATTTATCATATCCATGGGGCGTTGAAGTATAATACTGATTTATTGTGAAACGTGTGTTGATTATTGAAAAAAAAATCAATAACATCGTTACGAATCACTCATATATTCCATTGAAAAACTACGAATAAATATGCACTAAATTAAAAAGGCTCATTGAGAACACTGTTTGAAATTAGCAATAGTATAAAAATTGAAAATTTTGTTTTCTATCGTTTATGATTAATATAATATTTTTCATGGGCTTTCCTGATACATAAATATCAGATTAATCCAACCTATTCAATACGACATGTTGCTAAACAGAAATAGAAAAGCATCACAAGCTTTAGGTTGGTTGCTAACCTTAAATTTTCTTTTTTTTGTTTTGCATATGTCACGATACACGTTCTCATTTATGTTTCATAATAGCACACCAAATACCGACACTTTGTTGCAATGTCATGTTTTTTTTTGTCTAGCATTCTTATTTTTACAAAGAAAAGCGTAATACCATATCATTTGCCACCACTCATATACTATGTCACGCGAAACCAAGAAAAGCACAAAAGAAATAAAATCTTCTTCCGAAAAAAGAAACGACCTCGCTGAAAGAAATAGAACCAGGCAGTCATGCGATGACTGTTTATGCTAATTAACGGAGAACAGTAAGAATACAAATTCCAGAAAGCAATCGACTAAATTAAGTATTGAACGAAAAGTATCTTTACCGTTACTATTCACTTCTATAAATTCAAAATTTATTTTCTATTTTTTCCTTCTCTTTTCCTTTTGAATGATGTACTGAAATATTATTCCAGTCATTCTTGCTTTTATTCTATTTTAATTTCCTGATGTACATAAACACCAGGAAATAATAAAGATAAAAAGAGATTATCACATAGAAAAAGAACATAAACATTGGCTATCGAAAGCCAAAAAGAAATAGCATAAACTAGCGTGACAATCCTAGATAATGAAGCCTAATCAACATCCTAAAGGTGCGTCACCAGCCGTGAAGCACCACCTGTCACATTCACCTTCTTTTTTTAATTTTCAAACATTATCAGACGTACCTATTTACCTATTTATTACGTTATTCAAAAACAAAAAGTTCACTTACTTTGTTATCCAAGCGTCTCCCATAATTATTCCATTTAGTATACTCGAATTTTAAAGACTGCATGGTCAGAAATTGCGAATCTATCTATTTGAGATCGAACAAGTAGAATAGAATATCTAAACGATTCAGTATTTTATCAATGTGACTGTTCTTTCTCATCATTGTACGCTGAGTTTTGTTTTCAAGAGATGTCACATACGAGTATATAATTCATTTTTTTTTCATAATACTGAAATATAGAAAAATCTAATTATCCGATTCGTAGAGCTTGAAATTCACGATGTTGTAATAAAACTTGATAATTGTAAGTACAGAATGTTTTTTATGTAAATAGATTAATTGTTTTTTTTTCATTTTTAAAAGTAAAACACGTCTTGGTACTGCATGTTTTTATGTCTGTCTACAAGCATTCAATTATTACTAGTTTTGTACAGACTTTTTTATTTTACTCATTGATGAATTATGACAGAAAAGAAGTTTAAATTAACTCTATTTTAATACGTTTTTGTTCCTACTCAAATCAGATTCTGAATCGGCGTTAAAAACTGAGTCGATTTATATATGTTTGAAAAGTTCATTTGGATACGCTAAGAAATAACAGACATGCTGAACATGCTGTAGAACTATCTTATATTAATACATTTATTAATTAACAACCATTTAAAGTTTAGTTCGGTAACATTTTCTTTTTGATAAAACAAAATAAAGATCACCACATTCTATAGTTCTAGTATATCCTATTGATACATTTTATTCAATTGATGTATCTGTACTAAATGGACAAAAAACTAACTTTAATAGCGATAATAAATGCGTTCCATACAAACAACTATTCTAACAAAAGTAAATGACTTCTTAATAATGCAGATATGAAAAAGGACATTATTTTTTGCAATAAAATACTTTTCATCTCAGCTTTTTATGCAAGAAAACGCTTTTGTTTCTTTTCTTTATTAATTTCCTGGCTCATTTATGCATCCAGCATATTTTATGAGTGTAATTTAGATCAATCCACGAATTACTAGTATTTCATTTGATTATTTTACTGGATCCATTTTTATAATTGAGTCAATATTGGATGATGATAAGCCAGAACTTATGTTACCTTCATCTCAAATAAACACTAGTAATAATTTCTTAAATCTTCATAATCACACAACATTAATTACGCATCCTGTACTAGCTGCAAGATCAAGAAAAAAAGATAAAATTGATTCAAAATTAACTAGTCGTAGAAGTTGATATAAATATTTACCATCAATAATTTTACCAAATAATTATGGAATGTTTTTAAGAGAATATTTTTTATTTTAATAAAAAACGTTTTTCTCTCTAGATGGAAAAATCTCAGGATGAAAAGAAAAACGAGAACTATGACTCACTCGAATCTAGTTGTGATCTCTCTTTGTCAACAAACTCATCTGTTCAATATTCACAACAACAATTTACAACTAAATATCAGCCGTTAAGTACATTGAATGAAGATTTAAATACAAATAATGTTTTTCATCGTCGATCACTTCAACATTCATTTATCAATCTAGAACAAAATTATTCCGAAGAAAATACTGCTAGCCATAACAGATACGAACAACCATATCGTTCAGCTTTGCTTTATGAGGAACCCGAAAAAATGATTAAAAGCTCTAGCGAAAGTTCACATTTAGATACATTAAATGAATTTCATCAACACACAAATATCCATAGAAATGAAACTATTCAACCGTATCGATCGTTAAATGATGTAACTAATAAAACTCAACGATCTAAACTTAAAATAAGTCAAAAACCAATTGTATCAACATCAAAAAAATTAAGAAATAGAAATAAATTAAATATTCTTGTTGAATCATTAATGTCATCATCAACATCGTTCGTTTCGCTGAATGATGAACAAAATCATTCAACTACAAATATGACGAATAGTTCAAGTAATCAAACAGTATCTCACTCCAATCAATCATTTTATGAACAAATAAAATCAAAAGCAAGAACACCACTTAATAATCATTATCCAAATCAAGAACAAATAAAAGCACATATTAATAGATCAGTTATTGACCGCCAACATCAATCTTATTTAACAATGTCACAAGGAAAATATGTCATACATAAAATGGCGTCGTTGAATAATTCAAAATTACAATTTAATAATCATTTATTGAGACAAGAAAAACAATCGACTACAAGATTTTATCCAAGTAAACGTTTTTATTTCATATAGATATTAACTAATGCGTTATTTATGCTTCGGATAATTAGTATTTTCATGGAACTGAAAGATTTCATTTGTGTTTATTCATTTGACGAATCATTAGTGCAATTCTTTTAAGGATTTCTATTGTTTGAAAACGTATTACTTGCATTTTCACTTATGTGTGATGACATCTGAAAAAAATATAATTCTTCAAATTTAACTACGTTCCCTGAAATTCCAAAATCAATTATATACTCTTCACATCCAAAGATTTGTACAATCGAATTTTGGATAGACCAAAACGAGTAAAAAAATGAATGCATATTAGTTTTATTAATAGAAATAAATATGCCGTGTAGTAATTGAATTTTTATGAACAAAAATAACTATGATATTAGTTTAATTGAAATGTTTGTATTAGTAAATGAAATTGATATATTTTCTTTTCTTGATATACAAAATTAAATTAATTTGTTTCCTTCTATATCTAAATCACCTTAATGATGACATTGGATTGCATTCTTTTTAATTTGAGAATACTGTCGATTGCAATCGGATGGTTTGTTGCGCTGTCACCGAAATAGTATGCTTGAGCAACAGTCTGAGAATACGAAATCCGCTTAATGATAAACTACTCCCAGTCAGTCGATGATGTAGTAAAGATTTTTTATCAGATTCGATTAACAAAAATGATTTTAAGTGCTCGTACAATATAAAATTTATATATAGTATCATCGGAGCAAATCAAGCAACCTTTACCAACTTTGTCCAATGAAGAAATTATTGATTATTTTAAAGAAAAATGGAATCGTAAGAAGAAACAACAATTGAATAATATTGATCAATGGCAACAGGATTCTCAAAAAGAACAAAGTCAAGTCAACAGTACATTTTTATGCTACTAAAAAGAGTCTTTATTCAAACCAAGTTTGTCTTTTCTTTTCAGCAAAACACACTGAGAAACCGTTAAAAACAAGTCGAAACTCCGAAAATTCGCCAAATCAAACAGATCATTTTCTTTTAAACTCTTCTCATCACCATCATTATCATCATCATCATCATGAACATGTTAATGATCGTAATAGCGATCAACGACGAACGATCACTAATAATTTCTTTACTCATGAAACAGATCATAAAGTTCAACACAATCATTCACGAAATGTAAATTTTAAAGGAAAAACCAATAGTGATTTCAACCGACGAACACAGCCAATTGAATCAGTATATCAATCGAAATCCATTGGACTTATTTTGCAAACTAAAAAGTAAAATAAATTTCACAAAAACCTTACAGTTCGTTTGTTTTTTGTTCTTTCTAGTCCAACAATGTATCGAAATATTGAGTCCGAATCTGAATATTTTACTGGAAATACCATTGCTCCCATTCAATATCGTACCACTAAAGTAATTCGTATGCCCAACATAAATTCTCAAACTGAAAAAAACGACCAGCTTTATCAAAGAGAAAAGTTACCATCGAAATCTTTGAATAGTTTATCACGAACTATTCGAATTGAAGCAAGGAATACAAACGATATTTCACCGGCAATAGAAGCTAATCGATTTGATAACCAATCAAAAAAGAGCTCGCTACAACTTCACAAAACACAAAAAAACTCAAATAAAATTTTCAAAACAAGACCACTAACATCCTGGTCGATTCTATCAGACCATCAAATACACGAACAACAATCTAATCCTTACGAATCATCACCATCGATGGCTAGTCACGAGTTAATGGATCATCAGTTAAGTAAGAATTATGAAATGATTGCCACCGATGATCAACAAGATTTTCATCGAAGATACATTAATCCTGCCGATAAGTATGTGTGAAGTTTACAATACATCAGATTTCACTTATTTTGCTCGTAAAATTTCATAATCAAATCAACAAATCATCCGAGTTGCTCATAATGAGTCTTGAATGCGATACTCGATTTCTTTCGTGTTCATTTTTTGTTTAGGAACTTGATACTAAAGAAGTTTATCGCTATCGATATCTACATCGAATCATCAGATTTTCTCGCGAAATGACTTTATAGACCCCAACTCAAATATATAAATCAAATTATAATATCGTGCTACAATCCATTTTTCCTGTGGAGTATTATTGAAGTCAAAAAATGTCTGCTATCAATTATCAACATCTGACAGTGATCGATAACTTCGATTGAATGATAAAAACAAAAGGGTGGATGTTTGCAGCTAATTGATAAAAAGAAATACAATTATTTAATATCATACATCAATGTATATAATTGTTTCACATGTTGTTAAGATCCTGGAGATTCACTAACAGAAAAATTTGATAATATTATAGAAAAACTAATGCAAGTTGCGCTTATACTATCATATTTTTATTAAAAAAATTGAACAAGCAAGAAAGCAGATATCTTCATTCAGATTTATTAAAGTTAGCTTATAGTTGTCATTCGATCATATGCCATATTACAACGATAGTGTGATCAGAATATTTTCAATGTTTTTAATATACTATATAAAGTTTATTCTTAAATTCAAACAAATTGTGACATTTTTACAGAGTTTTTATTTTTAGTTCACAACATTCTTTATTTCACGATTATTCTTCGCAGAGATCTTCTCATGGCACATATCCATGTGTTAATACATCTGATTCTAATAATCGAAAAGATCCTGTTATTCAAAACTCACCAAATCAACTAAATACATCCAACCTGATTGTAAATCGTGAAAATTCTTCATTCTTTCCGTTGGATCATTTGTCTGCGACGGATCGATTATCGTTACCATCAGAAAAAGTGAGAATAACAACACAAGAAGATAATTTATCGGTGAACTACAATAGTGATGGTAGTTGGAATGATGATGGCTGGAGTGACGATTCAGCTGAATTTATATATGTTGATGATCGCTATGAAGTACAAAAGTAAAAGACAAACTAAAACCTCTCTATTGTGAACATCATCGGGACTGTTCAAAACATATACTATAGATAGATATTCATGATAGAGAATTGACGCGTCATTCACTGTTGAATAAAGAAAAGAATTCCATAATATTTACTTCTGTACATTAGCCCGGCGATAATTTTTGCTTAGCAGTTAGGTGCTGACTTGTCACATCATTGTTTTAAAATTATTTGATGTAAAGTCACACGAAGTATTATATTTTTCATCCGATTCATGTTATGATAAGCCATTCACCTTATTATTATCATAAGCTAATTGCATTTTTGTTTATATAGTAGAGCCAAATCGCTATTTAATTCGTAGCCACATATCTAAAGTACATAAGAAGCAAGTGGCAGAGAATAACAATGAGTCAAAAAGAAAACATCTTCACGTTGAAGAGGTTATATTAGTTATGGGGACTGTGAAAAAATGTTTAGGTTAGAGAGAAGAACTGCCAGTAAAAATCAATCGATCAAATTTGAAGTTGTTCATTATAAGAAGATGATCGCTTTAGAGGAGTTTTAACTAGTCGATATTGTTTTAAAAAATACTTCTCTTTGTTTTTTTTACTTCTAACATCAGAACAATAATCTCATTTTCGAACTTTAGCAAAAGTTGTGTTTCGTCAGAAGCAGTTTTCTTTTTCATTTGTAAACAATTTCAAAATAGAGAAAAAAGTTGCTTGTAATTGCATTACAGTGAATGTCAAAAAGAAGGATTCAGTGTATTTTTCATGTAGTACACAAAAAAAGGAACAAGGCAAATGAATAAAATTATTCTTGGATCGGTGAAAATAAAACTCAATGATAAAATCAGTAGCATACTTGTTTGTAGATGAATTGAAAGCGAGCATGTCTAGGTTTGCAGCACAACAGCTAGTCTGACTTGATTCGCTGGCATCATATAAGCGCAAGTCGAAGACTGAACCAAGTCAAAGTCATTTGGTCTGGCTTCAGCATTTCAGAAGTCATATGTTTATGGATCGTCTTCTTATTCGAGATAGCATTGGTAAAGTAATTCAGTTTCAGTAGTAGATGCTTCAATTAAACGCAAATTCAATGCTTTTGTAAGAGTTACAATGACCGATTGGGAGAGCTTATTTGTATCTTGAAGATGGATGGAAGAGATTAAGAAGCAACTAGCAACAGGCACCTACATATTGTTTGTCTTTGAATGAAGATCGCGCAGAAAAATATTCAGCAATAATTGATATTTTCTTACTTGCTAAATAATGATGAACTTCATAGAAGATTGGCAGTATTAGCTAGATTTTAGTGAAATATAGAACATTTTCAAAATTCCAGTGGAATTTAAATATGATCAAAGTTCAAATGAGTAAATATAGGCAATTCTAGGGTGAGTTGTATCACGTTTAGTTAAAACTTGATCGTTGTTGTTTGCAAAAGGAAAACTCGTTTTTCTTACATGTAATATTATTAATGAAAATATGTAATTCTATTTTCAACGAAAGATATTTTTTCATTCATCTTTAAAAATCGAAATCTATGATGGATATATTTTGATCACTCATCAATTGAATAAATGATGACACTGTTGTAAGCATTAATGCTAATCCGTAGAATCAATTGAAGTTTTCTTCATTGAAGATAACTGTATGTTAATATTTCAATGGCACGGAATCATTACAATCGGATGCGAACTCGAAAGTTTTTCAATATATCTCCATCTTCTTCTCATTACTATTGTTGCTGAATCCAATGGGGAAAAAGAGCAACTTTCGTACTCCGAAAAAATTTGACGTATAATGGAAGTTAGATGGAAGTACAAGGAAATATTACGGGAGTACCACGGGAGTACAAGTGAAGTATACATGAAGTATTTGGTAGTGAAAGCTAGCCACAGAAGCCTCCCCCTTCCTTTGTGTTGTCAGCACAAAAACTGCTGAACATAATTGTACTAAATCGTTGGTTAATATTGATGAATGATCAGAGAATTCTTGTATTTATTTTCAATCGAATACATCAAAGCGTGTACCTTTACAAATACATATTTTATGCGAGAGCGCATACTTTAATTTACAAGATAGTTTCACAGTATCACTAACTGGTCTCAGTAAAGAGGAAATAAATGGTGATTCATGTATGTATATAAGAATATGTTTTCATAAAATGCAAATTAAATGAACACACAATTAGCTCAATATAGTTTATACCAATGATGTGTAGCATTCGTTGATTTATCAATTTGTGTTACATTTCAATTTGATATTATTTCACTTCACTTCACTTTGAGTCTACGATACCTATGAGTTTCTAATCAGCTGAGCAATAATGAATCAACTATTGAAATTAATCTTGCTACTGAAAGACTAAGACGATCTAACAGAATTTATATTCGTTTTTTCAAACATTCTAATAACAAAAACAAGTCTATTTGATGTTTTTTCTCTTTGAGAATGATGATTATTACATTTCCTTAGAGTGAAATCACTAATCTTTAGAGAATTCTATGATGTTGAATCAATTTTAAACTGAAGTAGCAACTAATGAAGAGAATCTTACCAATACAGAAGCCGTTTCAACAGCAACATAGGAATCCGGCACCGGTTGGATCTGAATGGCTGAGATGACTTCCCTTCAATACTGTATCTGATTAAAGCACGTACACTAATTAAACACAGTTTAATTTTAATATTGGTGCTAATATAAAATCAGCTAATGTAGAAATTGTCGGATGCTGCTGGCCCTTTGTTACTTCAGTTCTATCTAGAAGCAAATGAGAAGCTTCTAGCTCAAAATGATAATGGCAACAATGTTGAAAAGTAGAATTGCTATGCAGCTGTATATAATTTATTACTTGTCACAAGGTGATTATTGCACAATTATCTGAGATATTCACTATAAACATTTGAATTAAGGGTACACATTGAAATTGATCGAACTATTACATTAATTTCTTCGAGAAAAAACATGAAATCTCTAATAATAAATAAATACTGTTGTCTTCTAGTCCGTTTTTATTAATAATCATTATCTTATCGACTATAATCTAATTTCATATTTAACATTTAAATAAAAGCTCATCTATTCACAAGAACATTAAACGAATTCTTTTTGCAAGTTATACCAAAAACGTAAACTATATTGATCGACTTTTAAGAATCTAAAATGGTTAAACTTGATATAAATGAAGGGCTTCCTGCACATCGGTAGGTATAAAAAGTTTCCAATGCCTTTTCTATCCTTTAATTCAACAGATTAATACTTTTCTAGATGATACAACAAATTTTTTGACTTCGATGCCAATAAAAACTATCGAATAACATGCTGCTTAGAACTATCAATTTTGACTTTAATAACAAAAACAAATAGTAACATTTGATACTAGGATCACATTCTGGCACGTACGTTCTTCTTAAGGCTGTACATCTGTAATCTTGAACGTAAGTATATACTATAGATTAGAAATGTATGCAGATTAAAGTAAATAGGGTTCGACCACTCGAAATGAAGAAGGATTCTGTTATATAGTGAAGTTCTAACAAATGTAGAATTTGCAACTCAATTTGAGAGATGAGAATGCCGATATTTCCATCGTCATGTTTAACACTCAAACCTAGTATAAGTAAAAATTATCAAAAATCCTCTATGACGAATATAAATAATTAATCTGAGAAATTGAAGCTGGCTATAAATATCAATATATGAATTTGCTTGAGTACGAAGTAAGTTAATAATGAGAATGATGTAGATGTAAATCAATCGGCAGTTTTAAAATATTTTGTTTTTACGTAATCTCGAAATTTTCGACCTTTCTATAAATATATATGATTGTGAAAATGATCTAANCAAGTCTTTATTACTGCAATTTGTAATTTATAATTAAAGTCTCAAATGATGTAAACGTGCTGATGATGGCCGTTACAATAGAATTCATCTAGATCAAATTCACCATCATTTAGATCATTTTCACCATCATATAGAATTATAGAAAGGTCGAAAATTTCGAGATTACGTAAAAACAAAATATTTTAAAACTGCCGATTGATTTACATTTACATCATTCTCATTATTACATATATCAAATTATTTTTATTTTCTACTAAACTATGGCTTCTTATTTTTATCTACTAGTTTCTCACACAGTTATGTTAGATTAATTTTTAGGTATAAATAAAATGATTTGGTCGATTAAAGATGGACTAGAAGCTCAATTTAATAAAGACAAAAGAATATTTTGATATGAAATTAAAAGTTCATTATATTACAAAACGTCCTTATGCTGTTCTATGTTGCTAGACGCATGAACGATTTTCAATAATAATTTATATTTTTATCAAAAAGAAAAGCATCAATTCGTTTCAGATCATTAAATAAAATGTTCCATATGTTGCTTTAATGATCCATTGAAAGCCTATATAAATAGTTTTCTTTTCTATGTATTTTCATGTCTTTTCACAAATATTTTCCTTTGAAGATGGTTCGTTGTTATAGCATCGTCTTAAGTATCTATCTATTCTGTTCTTCAATATATGCTTCAAATGACTGGTCACAATTTGAAGCACATGATATTTATCCAGTTGCTGATAAAAGTAATTGTGTATTTCCATTTACATACAAGGATAAAGTTTATAATGATTGTACAACTGATGGAGATAATGGAAACTTACCTTGGTGTTCTTTAACATCAACGTACCAGGGTATAGGAACTTATTGCTATAATTTCTGGAATTCAACTTTACAATGTCTTCCTAAGTTTACCATTAATGGAAAAACTTACACTCAATGTGATTATTTATCAAAAACAGCAATGTATAAACAATGTAAAACAAATAATTCTGCTGCTCCGTACCGTTATTGTATTGAAGACATTTTTACAAAAAGTGGAAGAAGTTTAAATCAAGTGAGTTCGTGTGATCCAGCTTATAAAGCATTATCGCCTTTTCATACAATGTGGTAAGCTATTATAAAACAAATATATACATATTTGTATGATTCGTTTTTATCTTGATCGAAATTTTCTATTGATTTTTATCTAGCTACGGACCAAGTAATTATGCTATTCCAATTCCAATCACTCCTACTGAAAAACAGGAACTGCTTGATATGCATAATGCATATCGTGCCAACACTTCTGCTAGATACATGTTCAAACTTTATTGGGATGATGAATTAGCTAAAATTGCTCAAAATCATTCAGATATGTGTTTTTTTGATCATGATCTAGCCGCAAATCGTTATAGTACACTATATAATTGGAAAAATGGACAAAATATGGTTATGACAAATGAAATTAGGAGCGGTTTAGCGGATTTATTAGACATGATGTTTAGTAGTGAAATAGTTAACTTTGTATATGGTACTGGATGTGCTCCAGATCCAGGCACGTGTTTACATTACACGCAAGGAGTGTTAAATAACATGACGCGTGTTGGCTGCGCTCATACACACTGTGTTTTTCCTGATCGAATAGAGCGATATTTAACATGTAATTACATACTGTCACAATACACAAATAATTATATGATACCATATGTACCAAGTAAAGTTCTATTTCGTGATTTTATATATTCATGAAAACGAATTGTGTCGATTGTAGGTAAGGTTCCAGCTGTTGATTGTCCATCAAAAGCAGTTGGAAATTTATGTGATTGTGGTAATAAAATTTGCAATTATAATAATGGTGAATATCTTGATCCGGCTACGTGCGATTGTAAAACACCAGTGACGAAAAGATCGATTGGAGAACAGGATCCTAATAGTATTAAGCATCCGAACAGCAATGAAGAACCATTTGTAACTATGCCACCTGGAAAGAAGATAGGTTTACATGCACCTAAAAATAGCTTCAACTAAACTCCATAAATAAAATTAACTAAAAACAATGTTAGGAAGAACTTAAAAGTAAATTGAGGACGCGTCACTAAGATGTTCTAGATGATATTCATTCGATTGAAACTGATTTTTTCATCATTAGTTGATGTATATTTACTTTTAAAACATTGATTAAATAAAGTGAAATTGCTGCATTCTTCAAAAACTACCGAATGAAATCTTCGAAAAAGAGTTCTACAATCAAGTAATCGAATAGTAAATTTCAAAGTTTCGAAAGATTTTACCATATAATAGAAAGCTTGAGGCTAAAAGAGCTGGCTATTATTTTTCCTGTAATAGATCTTCAGATTTATCATATGTTGCATATCGTGATCAAAAATAACCTATGAATATGTTAATAATAAATAGTCATATCCATTGACTATTGTGTTTCTTAATAGTATGATCAAAGCGATTATCTCTCGTTGTTAAAGAAAGTTGTTAGTGCGAATCTTGCAGAAGCAAAAGTTGAAATGCAATCTAACTGCTCTTAATTATCATAGAGAGACTATTTTATTCTATCTTTTTCGAGACATATTTCTTCAACATAGTTTTATTGGATGGCAGTCAGAAATTCAATAGAAAAGAAACTCAGTTATAAAAAAAAATACTATTGTATGATTTGCAATGATGCATCAACAATGTCTGTTATAATTTATGATGCAATCCTTTTAAATTTGTACGCAATATAAATCTCTAGCTCCATATTTCAACACGTCTTTTCGATCATGTGTCACAAACTTGTTGCGGCTATAATAATTGTTTTAGATGTGACTATAATGCGGCCTACAAGACTCCCAAGCGTTCCATCCATATTAATATTATTCTTTAAATTCAAGTGTTAAAAGTAAATACCTGAAATATTCTCTACTCTACAGATCAGACCTCATAAGAAAAAGTATTTTTATTGTTATCATCAAAATTCACTCGCTTTCTCACCTTAGATTTTATCTGCTGAAGATTGCATCAATCATTGCTTGTCTAAATCAAATGAATGGAAAGATAACCTTGAAAAAAACATCTTAATAATATTCTATCGAAAATCGAAGAAAGCAATTTAGTTTTGACAATGAAGTCAATTTTTATAGAAGATGTCATAGTATGAGCATAAAATATTTTCGAATTACTCCATATTTAGATAAAATAACTAAGAAAAACATAACTTAAACCGGTCATATTTATTATGAGACGATGACATTGTACACTATTATCCTATCAGGTAGTTAAAATAATAAATATAATAAGTAGGAAAAAATAAAATTGAGATAATGATGATGATGATGATGATGACGACGCTTCTTCAAACATCTGATCTAGTAGAGTTTGAATTTCTTCATCTAATAGAATACTCCCATTTGATAATGTTGTACTTTGAATAGGCAATGTTGTTATTTGTGTTGTTATTTCATCATATTCAAATACTTGTTTCATTGCATTCACTAATGGAAAACGTTTTAATCGTTTTTTTCGATTTTTTTGACAAAATTTTCCACTAAAATCATCCATGTCTAATGCCCAGATCATAGCACCACCGAAACCTTCACGTTTTACATACTCACACTTTAGAAATAAATTAATAGAAAATCTCATTTGAAATAAAATAAACACGCATTTATTTTACTTTATTTCTAACACTCTCGGGATCATCATAACCAATCCATGTTCCATCTTTAAAACTGATCGAAATTTCATGTTCTTTATGCCAATATCGTTTAAAACCTTCGCTTAATTCTTTTTTACATATCTTAGAAAGTATCGATATATCATTTAAAATCAAAACCAAGAAATTTCTTACTTCATAGAAAGCAAGTAAACCACTTTCACCTAAATAGGGTGATGATATTGAGCTAACACCGCCAGGTTCGCCGTATGCTTTTAACGGATCACCTCCACTAGCAATGAAAGCTCTACCATAACCAGGTATACCAATAATAAGACGATCACGCGGACAACCTGCTTTTATCCAATTATACATTGAACTATTCTAAATGAAAATCAGCTGCGATGACTTGCCAATGTATCAAAGTAATATAATGATCCTGAAATATTTTTGTTTGAATCGTATAGCACATTAATTTCGTTTGAACGTTAGTATAAATCTTTATAAAAAAAGCAGAAAACTGATCTGTTCGGCAAATAATTTCTAAGTGATAAGATACTCCATTTTCGATCGTTTGAGGATGATTACTAATTCGCTATCTAAGACACACTAACAGATCATCAAGATATGGTTCCTAGCTAACAACAATATATAACTATTTACAATTACACTTTGAATAGTATTGTAGTACGCATCGATGCTACAAACGTCTTCATCGACTGCAATTACTATCCTGATGAGTAGTAGCGAACACAATTCTCAACATTTGTAGAGAACTTATCTTAATAGCAGACCTTCATGATTGTCTTTCTTCAAGTAACACGTAGTGAGTTGTCACTACGATTCGATTAAAAAAAAAAGTAATATATGCTATACTTATGAGCCTCAATTTTTGCAATTCTTAAGGATGTAAATATAACAACTGTTAGAATTTTAAAAAATTCATATTCTATTCTTCTGCTGGTTCAATCAGTATGTGATTTAACAGAAGAGTGGCTAAGATTCAACAAAATATGTACACCATTGATCCATTGTCGTAATTTTTTAAATTAAGAATTGATACATTATTTGAATTAATTCTATTTCAAAACTATCACAACAACAATGACAACATCTATTTTTATTTTGAAAATCGAAATTACTGAAAGCATGTTATCAAGCCACAGATGTTGTTCTAACTATAGATATTCATATCTCTCATATTATTCGTTGATTTAGTCCTTTTTAGTTATTCACAAGACGTGTTTCTTATTGTGTTCCAATTGCTTCCAATCATAATTTTCAGAATAAACTTATTGAATGACTATTTCATGAAGATATTATTCAATGCTATCAATATGTAGTATGGTCCTAACAGGAAAAAAAGGAAGCTATTAATTTTCAACAAACCGTATTCAAATCTCTTTCCAGGCCTTTTTCACCACGTCGATGGAATAATGCACTATGATGACCAATTTTATTAGTCCATGAACCATACAAATCATACGTCATGACATTAATCAGATCAACATAACTCAATGAAAAAAACAGATTATTTCCATAGAATTTTTCTTTTGATACTTACTGACAAAGAACAGGAACATCATAACCTTGTTTAACTAAAACTTCTCCAGCTGCTACAGCCAGACTAATTAGTAAGCGATCTGTTTTTGCCTTTTTTGCTTCTTTTTTAAAAGCTCTATGCATTGTCTAAATTAGAAGTGAAGTGAACAAAGATAGGTATTCAATTTAATTCTCTTTTTGTTTTGCATTACTCTCGTTAATAATCCGAAATTTTCACGATGATTGGAAGATGGAAATTCCCAATCTAAATCAACACCATCAAAACCATGTTGACGACAGAATGTTATTGCATTTTTACTAAATGTCTCTCTATTATAAAACAACAAATTTGCTAAGAACATTTTATTAGAACAAATAGAAAAACGAGAAATATTTTACCTTGATGATTCTGATGAAGCAATGGAATCGAATTCACCAGAATTTCCCCATCCTCCACAAGAAATAAGTATTTTTAAGTCCGGATTTTTTTCTTTTAGTTTCATAATTCGAGGATAGAGTGGCTGAAGAAAATTGACAAAAAAAATTTCAACTATTTTCCCATCATTCAAACCTGTTCTCCTTGATAAATATTTAGATCATTCGGATGTTTTGCTTGTAATGTTAAACCTCCGATACTAGCGAATGCATAAAATATATGTGTACATAAATCAGCTGGGATATCTTCCGGACGAAGACGAGCTTCTTTCATCGATCGGTGAACACCCCAATTGGTAAAATAACATACTCGGCTGTATTTTACTTAAAAATAAATAAAATTAGATTAATCAATTCGAAAAGAATAGTCTATGTAAACGGTACAATAATTGACACGTCAACTTTTCAGAAATGATCACCTATTCTGATAGTACAAACAAAAACCTAAAAGTAGCATTATAATAGCGATGCAACACAGACTCAAAAGTTTTAACTTGATCGTTGAGTATATCAGTGTTCAGCCTTTCTATAATTCGAGTTTGAGTCTGAACATCTCAGGACAGTGTTCTGCCATCATAGTAAATTATTTCTGGAAGAAAAATAAGTTTGAATTTTAACAGAATCAGTCTATTATTGTTGTTTTAAAATAAAGAACTCACGAATGATTTTGTATCTATACTTTTTTTGCAACGAAAACATCTCGTAAGAAGTTCTTTTGCAAAATCCCTATGGTAGAATGACTCGACATAAAAGATACGTTGTTTTGGTAATTCTGATAATCAATCAAGTCTATTTCTATACTTGAACCTTCAGACCTATTTTTTTTCGTTAGATTTTACATCGGAAAAATAACACTATTCATGCGCGAAATTAAATAAAACTCTAATATTTTGTTGATGTTACTTTGACATTGATTTCGACTATAGTGTCATTGAATAAAGACTGGCATCTCAAAATTCTACATAGAACTCTACATGACGATTGATCGATTCGATCTCATTCAATCTTTATAACAAGATACTATATCAGTATTGTGACTGTACGAAAACAAATCACTCGACAAAATCACGACGATTTTTTGACAAATAGAATCGAAGGCGTTTGCCGTGAAAAGAATGAAAAAAGATAAAGTGTCGTCCATAAGAATAGCTAGTAACAACAAGTAAGTGTCTTTTAAATGGTTGATATTTTTCTTAATTTTAACTTTTATCATTTGATAAAATACCTACAACATGAATGATTAATTGTATACAAATAATCAGAGAAATATGCATTGATTCTAGAAATAACTAGTTGATGTAATTCAAATCAACGGAAAACGATGGGTTTAGGAAAATTATAATTGTCATTTTTTGAACGATATATTTTTTTTCTTTCTAATTTTTGAATCAATAAGGTAGTTTATGTAAACTGTACTTTATAGTCAATTTATTTTCCAATGGCTTCTTTTTATATTGTTCATACTATTTGACATGTTAAATATATTTAGGAATTTCAATATGAAACTTTAAAAAAATATCTTTTCTAGTCATAATAAATATAATTTTACCTGCTAGATTTGAACTTACTAAAAGAAGAAGAAGAAGACTAAGATAGATCAAAGAGAAACACATCGCTATAATGAATGTTGTACACGACATTTGTCGTCAATCAAATGTGATTGTTTGCTTAATTGAACTATTGCGCGTAATTTGACTGAACGTTCGATCTTATGGCTACTAATCCCTTGTTCAACAACAATACGAATAAAAACAACTAGAAAATAGATGTGGTCTGTATTAATACTAAGTCTTAACGATGTATAACAATCGTTTGAAAGTACTTCATGATGTATCATGATTTTTCATAGAAATCTTTTATTTCGAACTATTTCAAAATAATTTCCTTCTTCTTTTTTATTTCTTTTTTCAAAAACACATGATGATTTCATGTAAACAAAAATCTAATCCACGTGATGTATCATAAGAAAACAAACTGAAAGATATTTTGATATAAAATTCTGACTGAACGAGGAAAAAATGGAGAAGCATTTTCTTCGTCTTACCGTCATAATTATAAGACATTTTAATTTTGCTTTTCTTTATACTGACGGAAATTTTGCTGAATTTTTTCTTCCACCATAATATCTTCTTAAAGAAACAGGAGAACATTTAATTGAACTAAATATAAAAATATTTTCATAAAATTCGCAATGGAAAGTCTTATTCATCGTTTTTGACCAATGTACAAGATGAACCATCAAATATATTACAGCCAATAGCTGACTATGAACAAAAACCACTACTTTGCTTAGAAGAAGCTTGCGAATCAGTGTATTCTTTAATTAATGATCTTCCACAATATATCTGAATATCAAAACAAAATTGTCAAAATCCTGAAGATGATCTAACAAAAGATGAGTCTGCTTCCATTCACCGTTACACAATGGAATGATCTAATAGTCAACAAAATCTTTATGCACAACTCAATAAAACATTACGTAGTACTAATCGACAAGAATTAAAACCATGGTTTCGCTATTAAAAATGATTTTTAACAGCTCTTTTTAAATTACCAAGAGTTGAGGGTGTTGTCTGGCGTGGTATTCCTGGTGATTTATCATCTCAATATTTAGCAATAGATCAACAAGCACGGTGAGCAGCAACTCGAACACTTTTTTCCATTAAAGCTCATACTGTTCGCCGAATTCGTTCACATTCATATTTTAAACATGAAGAAGAAATTATTTTGTTGCCAGCAACTTTTTTTAAATCGTTTCACATTTATCGCCCGCCGAAAATCTACATATTATACATTTAAAAGAACAACAAGCATGATTTCCTTTACTTCAACTACCATTTTTAGGAGCTCAATTACGAGAAACATTTTGCAAACAACTAGAAAATGAAATTTCTCAATGACGTATTCGTCGTTTAATTACATTTGCCGATCTAAATGAGAAAATTTCAGCTACACATAATCTTGGTGATATTACAAATGGCTATGAAAATCTTCATTGACATAATGCATCGTATATGCATACGGATCATGCACTCTAACATGTTAAATGTCAAAGTACAGGTTATCAATATATATTTCAAAATAGAATACAACAACATCGCTCATCTTATACCTTATATTGCCGTTAATTCAAGTGGAAAATCGATGTTAGTTAGTTCATTAACAAATGATGATTCTACATTCAATTTGCATACGATCGAAGCACAATCAGCTGTGAAAAATGGTTTAGAAATTTTCATTGTTGGATTTAAAGCGAATGTCAAGTTATTTAGGAACAAAGTTAAATTATTTATTGAAAAATTAACATTTATTAAACTTGATTGAAATAATATTGATTGAATTACATTTGAATCAGCAAACGATGAAAAAGATAATAAAATATTTCATTTTATTCTTTTATCTATTGAAATCAAGTGAATTACTGTTTTATTTATTATTAATAAAGAACTGGAAAATTTCGTTTTTAAATCAATTTTTTAGTGGATCTTGAAAATTTTTAACATATGATGAAAGCAACATGAAATGAACGTTGACACTGTAGCATTACAAATAATCAATGTTCAAAAGCAAAAGACAGTGTTTAAACATCATTATCTAAACAATGACAGTCATGCACTAGAACAAGTTTGACAAATGGTATTTTCTGTACAATTAAGTTTTATTAAACTACTTGTAAAAAGTGTCCAGAAGAATAGAATCTATAAATGGTCTTTAAATCTTGCTCCATGTTTTCGTTAGATTCAACTTATGTTATAATTGCGAGACTCATTATCTCTGCCTGCAATTAAATTGTATAAAGATGTTCAGGAAATATTTTTCGAATTAATATTTCAGAAGAAAATTTACAATTCCAATAATTTTGAAATGTTTTGTATCTATGAGAGTATCAGCTAGAAAATTTGCTTGATAAGTCGTTTTCATTGTACGTAACTAAGGTTTTTATCGATGAAGCTCGAACTAGAATTGAAATGAAAATCACTTTCGTAAAAAGAATGTTCTAGATTGTTTGATGTTAAAGTACTTTTTCATAGTACAAACGAGAGATGGAGTCTTATCATTTCAAGAAAATGTCACATCATTTAATTCGCCAGATACCTTTAGAAAATCCATGAAAATAAGAAATCTACTAATGGCATGTACTTAGGAAGGTTCTTAGTTTTCAAAAATAAAATTGAGCAGTGTGACACAAGCAATATTTGAGGAAGCATTTATCAAATACAGTTGTGCGATACTGTCAAAAATCAAGAAAAGTGAGAGTACAGATAGATGGCTGTAAGTTTCAATTAACGTTTGTTTCCCCCCTCCATAGTCATGTCCATGCTATTTCATCTATTATGAGACTACTCATATTTCATATTTTTTATACTGTTTCGCTTGATAATATGTAAATAAACTATTTTTTATTAAAAATCCTTAAAAACAAACACTATCTCTTGTGTACCGTTATCATTCCGAAATATGGCAATTATCGAGTAAATGTAGTAGGCTTATCAACATTTTGAAACCCATTATATATGATTTCTATGCAATAGACCGTGAACTACTTCTTTGTCTATTAATTTATTGATTTTTATTATTTCTTTTTGTTTCTAATATAAGTTAAGCACTATTTACTACTAGATAAATATTAGAAAAATTGATAACAATCAAACGAATGTAATTTCTCATTTAAAGAGAACAAACTAAATAGACCTACACAATTCTTATATTGGTATTATCATAGTTAAGTTAAAAACACGATGATAATCCTTGAAATAACATGTTTATCAATATTCGGCTCGACAAGGAGCTAGAATTAGACCTTACAAATCTTTTAGGATATTCTTTTTTAATAGATCTTAATTAATCCTTTGTATATGAATTGCTTTTAGGCATCGTTTGCTGACGAAAAAAAAGAATGCCTATCATCGTCACTTAATTATTTAAGAGCAAAACAAGGTTTCATTTCATGATAACAGAAAGAAATGTTTCTTAATGTTGACTGTTTTTAATCATAGGTTGAAACTTTAAATATATAATCATTTCATCTCAGCTTTATGGTATGAAGATATTTAAACTACTCCGCTTCACGGTACTATTAGTAGTCTTTAAGGTTGTTTTATTCACAGCACAGTAAATATTTTCATTGCAGAAGTGTTTGCAAACAAAATACTTATTGTGTGTTCGTTTTTTACCCGTATATTTTATCACTAGGCCGGATTTTACTCTAATGTTCGTTAAGTTTCGATTTGAAGTTCATGTTTTGTTCTTAAAAAACATTATTGCGTGTATTTTAGCAATATTTTCTCAATCTAATAACTATGACATTATGAAAACTCAGGTTTTCTTTGTTACTATATTCATCGAATAAAGATTCAAGAGAACTAATATGTGTTATTTACATATCAAATTTATGCAACGAATACGTTTTGCTTTACTTAATAACAGTTTGAAGTTCATTTCATTGCTGATGAATTATCTGTTCGATATCAGTATGAATGATCAGAAATGCGTTTTTAACAATAAAGAAAATAAAAGTCTCCCGTTTCAGTAGATTGAATAGCAAATTTAATATTATTTCGAATTCTCAAAAAAAAAAGAGAGTGATAAAAATGAATGAAACCAAAAGACAATCGTATGTGCACTCACAAGAGAATGAGGCGCGTGGTATATGCTGAAGTTCAACCACTAGAGACATTAAAAAAAGAAAAGAAAAGATGTTCCAGTAGAATATTTCAATCACTTATCAATTTATGCAAATGGTAATCTCTCTTTATCATATTCAGAAATAAGTACCAACTCTCTGTTCCTTAACTCTAGATCGTTTGACGAAAGATCATTAATTCGGTTATTTGATGACACAAGAATTTCCATAAAGATCGTTAATATTTATCCTTGAATAAGCATAAGTTTGCTTAATTGCAGTTATCTATCCCTTTTCTTTCCAGTAGAATATTGTGTAGCTCTTTTTTTATGGCATTCTATGAACACAATTCTAAGCATTAATCATTAAAGATCGATTAATTTTTCTACATGTTCTCACGATTAGATAGTATTCAAGTCAATTATTCTTTTCTCAACATAATTAGAGAAAATTAAAACATCCAATGATGAAAACTCTATTTCATATTTACTAAAAGTATAGAGTATTTTCTAGAGCATATTATTTTTTTTCTTTAGGCAAGAAAAGATTGACTACATGGTTTTATCATTATCATCAATATTGAAAGTCGCTAGCTAGACAGACATTGGAAAGCAGAGAATTGCAATTCCATTAAAAGTGATATGAAAAAACGATGATTCTAAGTGCGTCTATTAATACTTTGTATTTTAAGCTTACTGAGTAGAGTATAACATTCAACTACATAAATAGAATTTTTCTTTCCAAATGCATGTTGGATTAAGGAAGAAAAAAGTCTTTTATAATTATTTGAATTGATCTTAGCTGTTAAATAAATCATCAAACATAAAGAGAAAAAATACGATTTGTGTTTTCTAAAAACAGTATCGGTTATTATAGAAAAAAAAGATCAATGATTATTTCATTGCGCAATAATAGTTTTGTTTTTCCCTTTAAAAAAAACATTAAAAAAAGCGAACAAAAATAAAAATCATGTGATTTACACGATGTGCAATGGAAATGTTGCTGTTTTTATTTCTTGGTTATTTCCATCAGACAACAAAGGTTCCATATCACCTTTTTCAACTTTTTCAATTAAGAATTTTTTCCATGATATATAACGTCTTTCTTGTGCAATATCTTCATCTGTATCTCCAAAATAAAAATTCTCGATTTCGGCTCGACGTTGTCGATATAAACTGAATGCAAGTATGATAACCGTTAATATCAAATATGAAACTACAATGAGAATAATATATGTTATTGGACTTGATAAAGATAATACCGATGACGAATCTGTTTTATTTAATGTATGATTTAAACGTAATAGAAATTCATCATAGTAAGAGTGATTTAATGATAGCGATGATGAACCGAAATCATTGTCTTCATATGATAATGGAAAACTATCAACATTATAATAGGTTACAATATTCCGTTGAATCGTTGTTGAGTTCAGCATTTCTAGAATCATTATTTAGGATTTATTGACTTGAGAGAAGAAGAAAAAAAGACTTCATTACAGCAAAAGAAATATATTTACTTTATTAACAGGATGTTTGTCTCTTATTTTATAAAGATCTATAATAAATATTTGAGTGTTGAACTTTTACCTGGATATAAAATATCAATGTTTTTTCTCTTATCTGTTGTATAGAAGAATAAAACGTTTCACGAGCTTATTTTTATGTTAGCTAGTAATTGATTGGTAAAACGAAGAAGAATGGAAATGAATTGTCAAGAGAGGAAAAACAATAGTTCTATTACCTTTTTCAACTGAATAATAATCCGCTCTTCCACTATTCAAAACTAATTGTAACAGTTACAAATCAATTGAAGAGAGAATCATTTTTGGATGTATTCAAAAAATTTATCATAAAATTCATCTATTTTAAAGTTCCTATGAGTGGATATTTAAAATAGATAATTATGATATCGATTCTAGCTTTTTTTTGTATTATTTCTATGATTTAAATAATATACGAGATAATTATAAATGAATAATATCCGATATACAAGACTGAACTCAAGGACTTTTATTCTATGACTTACTCATTTATCTTTCAGTTAGTTGTATTTAAAAAGAAAATGACTTCTTCTTTTTGTATGCTAGCAGAACCGAAAGAAGCGAGAGTAGTGTTAAATCCACATACTGATTGGGATGACGATGACAGCAAGAAAATTCTCTCTTCTTCTCTTTCGCTGTTTTGCTTAATATTCACGTCTTCAATTTGCTTGTTCTTTGCTATGTATCTCTCTTCAGGCATAGACTAGCAATGATCATCATTGAGTACCATCTGCTGTATTTCGGATGACCTATCTCGCGTTTCAGCCTACATAGGCATTGTGAAACGAGAAAAAAAAATCGAATTTTCATGCATAAGCAAAAGACTAAGACCGCTCTTTGCTGCATCGGCAATTACATTAGTAAATCAGGCAGTCAACATGTATTTGTTTAGTGCTATGCAACAAAAGAAACTCTGATTCAATTGACTATTGAGTTTAAGAAAAAAGCCTTCTGCCGTTCTTTTTTGTGGAATAATTAAATTCAAAAGTTTTTTTACTATTGAGAGATGCATGGAAAAAGTAGAAAGAATGCAGCAAGAAAGATGTTGTCATATTGAAATCATACTATCAAAATTTAGTTTCTAGTATTTAAGCAGAATATATTTGTAATGAAAATACGATTCTAACATATTTGTTGAAACAAAGATAATTACATGTTTAGTTTTAAAACGTGAAGAGATTAACAACAGATATTTATCGAATTTCAATGATTTTTATACAAAATTTTAATTTCTTTATTATTTACTTAAATAGAAACTGATATTTCCAGGTTTTAATTATTCATCTCGCAAGATCTAATATCGGGAACAAAATATAAATGATTATCGTCCTAATTTGATGGATTTCTGTGAAACATTAAAACAAAGTCTACACTCTGATCTTACTTTTGTCTCATAATTACCTATTATGTTTAGAATAGATCAAAATCATAGAATGATATGGAATTCAATGATGCTTATATTGCGAACATCTGTACGAGAGATAGTATGTATGCTGCGAAGTAGTTAATACTTATTTGGTGAAATAATAATATTGATTATTATTTAAGCATAATTACTTGGCAATATCGATGAGTAGAATATTGATCGACTGCTTATTAGAAAACGACTATAAATCTGAAAACTATTTCCATTCTTTAAATAGAATTTAATCAATATTTGCAACGAGTATAATATACGAGACCCGTATGTTATTACTGTGTAGAGTTGCAAAAGTTTTGGATTTTTTAAATTCTATATTGTTCATATCGAAGATTATCATAAATCAGTTAAATATAAGTATCAATTCATATAAACAACTATTTTTCTTTCATCATGTACTTTTAAAGTATATAGCTGAATTAATTAATAATATTTCGATAAAACAATCGAAGATGAATGATAAACTAATATATTTTTGTAAAACTCACATAATTTTAAATTAGTATCTTCTTCTATTTCGACAGGGTGTTTTTTTCTAACTTTTTCTTGGACAAAAGCATAGTAGTCTATTCAATGAGATACTGCCAAAAAATAACATTATGATAATTGTGAATTGATTCTTCTAACTTTGAAATACTGACACTTTCCTATGTAATAGTAAAGCTATCATAAAAACACGTTACAAAAAGACATTTAAAATACACATCATCTAGCTCGTTTTCAGATTTCATTCATGAAAAATGACATATATATTACATTACACGACAAAAAAAAGAGGAATAGGATGAAAATATCATTTTTGTTTTCAGCTACAGAAAACTAGATTTGGTGCGCGCGGACAGAGAGACTACGAGTAGTTCATTATCTAGTCACATTTGATGAAAATTTGTATATCGTGGCTCATCTGCTTTCTACAATTATTATCCATTCAGTTGTTTCTCATTACTTGCCATCAAAAATACTCGACAAGAAATAATCAACTATTTCTATCATGAAATATAAGGGAAAACATAATCATATTTTCTAGTGATCACTCTCCGTAATAAAAAAATTCTTTTTTGACGGATCTTCTTTACACTTCACTCTGTTAAAAAGACGTTTTATAAAATTGCGCACCTTATCAGTGTATTTACAGCCTAAAATATCTGTAAAATGTTCAACCAAGTTTATATTAATGCCATGTCTCATGTAATTCATTTCAAAATAGTTTCTTCATAACACTGCGTTCTGATGAAACATCGGATGAACTGGAAATTCAACACTTTCATATGTGATTGCAAACAAATGAATTCATAGATGATACTAGCCTCTTTATCAGGATTTGTAATAAAGTAAAGTTAAACACAATTGAATGTGAAAATCTTATTCAAACAACAAGACATTTTTATAGGATGACCTTTCTTATTGGAAATAATCAAAAACAGATTTAAGCAGTAGAAAAAAAGATGAGTAGTATATTCTATAAAATCAGATTTAGTTTTCATCTAAACTTCATTTTGTTAGAAGAAAGATTAGTCACTCTCGGGAACTATTTGTTGTTTTGTTTATCAAAGAATACTAAAATATGCTCATGCTTTGCTTCAAACGTAAAGCATGTTCATGAGCAACATCCTAGGATTTCATGCGTTAGGTTTTGTCTTGGTGCAAATACCACTATCACGAATTAAATTTCAACATATGAATTGCAGCTAATAATGCACAATAGAGCGACATGAAAGAAAGATGTCGCTTCTGCTGAATAAATTTGTTTAGTAGCTAAAATTCATTTAAATTTGAGGTTCAGATTAGAAAAACTTTCACAACTCTTCTATAATGAAATGATTTGAAAAACTTAAATGAAATAGAAAGTGAAAGAGGTTTTGAATAATTTTGAATGGTAATTGGTTATTTTTTCTTCTTCAGTGAATACACGGTGGTTATCTACCATTTGATTCGTTTGTTTGAAAATCTCTATCTTACAGTTTATAATGATACTACAAGATACAGATTGTTGACTGGGAATCAACATGAATGAAGTTAGCGAAATTAGTTGATATCGGTCAACTTTTAAACAGTTACTAAATCAACCAAAACTTCCGATATGTACGCGCATGTTTTGTCATGTATGAGTTGAACAAACGATGAAGAATAAATCAAATTTCCGATGTTCAACAGATGAATGAGGTTTGATTGTTTTTTAATTTTGTTTTTTTCATATACTAAAGTTTTATATCTAGATAATAAATGTAAATTTCATTGTGCATGAATTATTCTTTAATCTGTTCAGTTGACAAATTAGGCTGAAATAAAGCCTGAACCCATTCACTTGTATACGTATCAAATGATTTTGATGTAAAAACTTGCAAATTCTTTGGAAAACAAATGATACTATTTTTTTCCACATGAAAAATATTAATGAATGTTGTTGTTAAATTGTGAATTTTATTTCAGATCTCTTGTGAATTTGATTGATTACAATAATCATCATAATAATGCAAGGAACAGATGGTGTCCCAACAACAGATCAAATTGAATTATATGTTCCACGAAAATGTGCTGCAAGTAATAAAATCATAGCAGCTAAAGATCATGGTGCTATTCAATTGGATATTGCCGAAGTTGACGAACAAACAGGTCGAATCACTGGCAAAAATCGTACATATGCACTTTGTGGTTCAATTCGTATGATGGGTGAAGCTGATGATTCAATTGTACGATTGGCTACAAGAGATGGATTTATTGGAAAAGGATATCTTCTTAAAGATTCCAAATAAAGCGAAGCATTAGTATTTTCATTAATCGCGTTTTGTTATATTCTCTCGTGTTTCTGTTTTTCCATCTGCATTGTTAAAGAAAGGTAAAATAAGAGAGAACGAAAAACAATATCATTAATAAATAAAATAAGAAGAAGAGAAAACAGATTTTCAGTAACAATAACATTTTCTTCTATAATGAATGAAAAATGATTAATAATGAATGTAGAAACATAAAATTTCAGAATCATTTACAAGATAACTATTTCGATAATCATTTCATTATTAAAGAACAACATTGTTTCTATTTTGTCTAATGCTGCATGAATTTTTCTTTCTGAAAGTTGCAAGTCAGAAGTATCGCTACGCCTTTGACAATATGACGTAAAATTTTCAAAAGATAAAAACTTCAAGTAAAACCAATGGGCTTCACAAACTGTTTCTTCATTTTTTCTTTGAATTACATTAGAATCAGACTTTATCGCTTATTGTTTTGAGCATATATGTTTATAATTTTCATGTCTAATAGTTTAGTGATAATCAGTAAATTTTTGAAAATTTTCAAGATAGAGTTTGAATAGGTTTCAGTGAATGAAGATTCTATTCAGATTAGAATGCATATTTATGAGAAACTAGAAGAAAAAGTGACGCTTTCTATGTGGAATAGCAAAACTTTTCATAAAAGACACCTGGGAATCCTTGAAAATTATTTTAGAATTAAAAATCAGCTCAATTCCATCTTTAGACTTGCCGAGAGATTTTGAATTCAATTTGCCATTGTATTGCTTTGATTGTTACACTATGTCAACAAAGTTAGTAATTAAATTGATATTCAATGATACTATTATTGTTTTGAAAGATATATTATCTTTAGATACTTATCGAACGAATTTTAAAAAATAATACAATCGAACTACGGAGAATTAGCTGTAGTGATGTTGAACATAAAAAACTATCGAAAAGAAAAATAGCATAGAATTCATTTTGAACGAAGTGAAATAAGATTTCCTGGTTCTACATCGTTTAATTCAACTGTTTTTGTGTGAATTTCACTTTTGTGCTTCTGAAAAATTCACTGATGCTTCTGAATGTTGGACTCTCACAAAAACTATAATAAACACATATTCAACAGAAACACAAATTTCTAATTCGAACTCAGCATTTTCAATCGATTCTCAATGTCCGTCGAAAAATGACGCAACGAACAAATTTATAAATCTCGAAGATCGATTGACACGTAGATTTATAAATCTATGATTGTTATTTAATCAAAGAAGACGGATGATGCATACATCCAATGTTAGATTTATATCCTTACAACGAATAATCATGTACATCGACGGCAATATGATTTTTGATTTAGATTTGAGAACTATAACCATAGTTAACACCGAAATTTCTATGATAATCTCTATAAAAATAACACTATTTTATATATGATAGCTATAAAATGTCATACTGAGGTACTCAATATTACAATAGACTATGCAACTAGGTATCTTGAAACCAGTTTAGATAGTAGAACTTAAAGCAGCATTAAACGCTCATGTTTATGAGTCTGAACGATGGGTCTTAGGCACATACTAACGGGTGGGCCATAAATAATGATGGTCTCCGTATTTCGTAAATATCTCATGAAGCTTTTATCCCTTAGACTTCGTGTTTCTTTAGAAAGATTCCTCATTCAATTCTCTACAAAAAGATACGNATCGTAATACGGAGCCATGTAATACGGCCAAATACGGCGATTTACCGTCGTATACGGCAGAAAACGGCCGTATACGGCCCGTATTTCACCGTATACGGACGTCGTAAAGCTCGTCCTGGGTGGCCCACCCGTTATTTCGAGTGTGGGCATGGGGATATCAAGTTAATACACACACAATTGGTTACAAGTGTAGCTGAATTCATTGGCACTCAGATTCGTTGAATCTTAGTTGACTGATACAGTTATATACAATGTATCACTTCCATTGTAGTAGTCATTAGTCCAGCGCATGCTTTTGGCAAAAATATAATCCTTGTATATTTAACATGTGAACATAGTTCTTTTTTAAGTGATCCTATAATAATATCTTGTTTTGCACTGCTGTCATGCATGCTCTTGCGATGTTCTCAACCGTGCGACATGTTATTCTCCAAATTTACAACACACGACGTTTTTCTTTTCTACAATTTAATTTTCTACTTTTATTTTTCGACGGTTTTGCTTTCGGTTAAATTTAGATTTACGGAAAATTTGAGTGGTACCACCGATCAATCAATTTTAAGCACTTGCCATTCATTTTACAGTTGATTTCTAGTTTTAATTACTGTTTGGAATCATTGTTTTTGTGAAGTTTCTATAAACTAAAAAAGTACACAAATTATTTTTGGGTTTTTGTCAAGTGGTTCCATTTGTAAATGCTATGTGTTAGTTTCCATTATAAACTCTATCTGAAATAGATTATATGACGCACACATCGATTTGAGAAGTTGTTCTAAACGTTGCCTTATATAGTATGTTTGACGATTCTCATGAGAGTGGTTTTCGTCAAGTTCTGCATAGAAGAAAGAGTAAAAAGTGGAAATTTCTATCGGAAATGTGACCGTTATCAATAAAAGTGTTTCTAATCGAATGCAACTATTAACTTATTAGTATTTGTCAAATGAGAAAAAACTATTGTTTTGACACTTTCAATAAGAAACTTGGTAGTGTATTTGATTTTAAACAAAACAATACTCACGATTATAAATAAAATGTTTTTAGCGAACCTCTTTTTTGTTGCACAAACAAATTTGTGTTCTAAACATTAGCCATGAATCTTTCTGGATACTATTTTAATCGATGTATTTACATGCTAATGCTCTCGGAATCATAAGTTTTATTCAGATGAAATAAATACATGAAGTAGAAATTTATTCTTGCTTAGTCATACTGCTTATGGTCGAGAGGAAGCGAATTCAAGTAGAAATGACGATCAATAATATTCAATATAATCTTCTAGAGTTTTTCTATCTGACATGAAGCTTTCGATGTAGTAATACAAAATAAACTTAGTTTCGCTTTGCCAACATATTCATTTATTTGAGTTATGCTTTGATAAATTTTAAAACTGATAAAATCCAGTCAATTTCTATAGAAGTTAGAGATACTGAGATGAAATAATGATTTTTGTACAGCATTGTATTCATGAGTTTATACACTGAATTTACATTTTCAGCGAAACATGCTTCTTTATGAAGAAGATTCTGAGATACTAACCCATAGTACAAAACCAGGATGATTCTTAATACTAAACTGTGATATACCATGAAGTACCTGATAAATATTTTAAAACAGCAGTTAAATTAAAAGCAAATAGTTGAAATCGCCTTTGGTATATTCAAAAAATGAAGCAAATATCACCATTGTATAGATTGACATTATAATTTGTGATCATCAATTAAGTAAAACAGTTATTCCAGTTAACATTACAAAGTTAAAATTGGCTTTTTCATAGTTTAGTTACGTTCATTGTCTTAATAAGAAATATTTACGAAGCGATGTTTACGACAGAGATTAATTTAACGAATAAAGAACAGTCTTAAAAGTTTCTTTTATATTTTAACTTCAGAATTCTTGAATAGCTAAATAAGTTAAACGAGATCACGCTGAAATTGATACCATGAAAACAATAAAATCTAAGGATTTACGATTATTTGGCTGTTGATAAAGATAGCTAGCTATGCTATATGTTCGCTATGGCCATGCGGTAGGTTAGGAATGATACGGTAATAGAAAGAGAAGAGAGTAATTTCGTTTATTTTGACCAAAGATAACATAGAATGTCTGTTATCTTAAATATAAAACAGTGAAAAAGCAAGATATGCTAAATAAATTGAAATCTGTGCTTTGGTGAGAAAAAACAAAATCATGCGGGAACTATTATGCGTTGTATTTGTTGGTAAGATCTTCATAAATTGATTATTAGAAACATGCATTCGTTTTAATATTGTCTGTAGTTCTTAATTACATTTCATGCATACATGCAAAGACAGTATATGATTGTAACTTTGACGACGCAACTTCTGCTAACAACTGTTTCACATCAACAATAAATGTTGCTGCAAATATAGGAAATCCGAATGCCGTAGTGCCTAATGGACCTTTATCAGATGTGACCTCTAGTTGTAAGATAAAATTTGTAGTTCACCATATATTCTCTTAATTTAGAATATATATGTCTATTTAGTGAAGCCTACAGATAGCGGTGAAGCATGCAAATTACCTTATAAAGTCGGCTCATTTAGTTGGCAGATGTATTTTTGTAACAGAGGATATTGCCCAACAGAAAATAATTCAAATAGTACATGTAAACCAGGTTAGGTGAACAAGTGCCAAATCGCATGTTTTTATTTGTTTTACACTTTTTTTCTTTTAGGAAAATTTAGCTCAGTATCATTAAATGATAATATCAAAAAATCCTTTCAACTTAAAACGGAATCTGGCGGAATTGATAGTTTAGATCAGCAATGTCTTATTTATTACTATTACATGTCTAGTATGGCAGGCACGAAAATTATCACCGTAACTAAGGAGGAAACAAGTGGAACAAAAGAAATCATTGACTCTGTCACAAGTAGTCCATTCAACGGATGGATACAGCGTAAAATACTCTTCAAAGCTGAAACACGTGGCTATAAAGTTTGATACTTCTCAGACAAAAAACAAACATTTTAGTAACGGTTTTATTTAACAACTTTTTAGCTCTATTTTGAAGCACAGAGAACATCTGGTTTTCAAGTACCGACTGTGGGATTTGATGAGATTTCAATACGCGAAGGCAGTTGCGGTACGTATACATTGACGAAAAAGCGATTATTTTTCAATTGTAATACGTTTAGATGATCAACATATAACTTCTGACCCAACAGCGGTAACATCAGTGCCAATCCAAATAACTACGACAACCATACCAGCTGAGACTTCAACAGTGACTACTACTACCACCACTACAACGCATGAACCAGTTGACACATCAGTGACAACAACATCGACAACAACTACTGCTACAACGCCTGAGACAGCTGAGACAGCAGTAACAGTAACTACTGCTACCACTACAACTTATGAACCAGTTGAGACATCAACTACCACAACTACAACGCCTGAACCAGTTGAGACATCAGTAACATCAATATGCACAACAACTACTTCTACAACGCCTACAACGCCTGAGCCAGCTGAGACAACAATAGCAGCAATTACTGCTACCACTACAACTTATGAACAAGTTGAGACATCAACATCAACTACCACCACTACTACTACAACGAGCGAGTCAGTTGAGACAACGACAGAACTGGTACAGACTACGTCAACTACTCAATTAACAAGTACAACAACTACCACAACTATGACGTCCATGATTGAGATTTTAACAGCTCAATCCGCTTCATCCACTACAACAACAATCAGCCTTACAGTAAGTGTTCAATAATAGGTTGTGTTTGTGCGCATTAATATTTGTTTACTTTTCTGTAGTCATATGAAACTACTTCTTTATCAGCGGCATCGATTTCAATGGAAACTACTAGCACCATTACTATTCCATTTACACAAACCATTACAACGTCTCCTATTATTCCTATAACTAGCAAATCGACAATAACAACTACCGCAATGTCACAAACCACCACAGTAGAGATCGTTGAAAATGTTGTCATTGATTCGTACAAAAAAATACTTCCTCGAGAAAAAAGTCACATAATCGTTATGGCCGTATTGATTCCTATTGTTTGGATAGGATTCATTGTTGCTCTTCTTTGGATGAAGAGGTCAAGTGGTGTAATTAACGGTATACTGCACCCATTTACGAACTGGAGTCATAGTGGTGAAAGTAATGAGGGTAGCTATGAACTTAGTAGTGTATCGAATGCTTAATTTAACGTTGTTTATAAAGAGTTAAGTTTATTGTTTTCAAAATTTAATGCTTATATTGAATAAATCATGATAATTCGGAAATGACTGATAGTTTGATCTCAAGAGAGAATACAAAGAACGAGTCATTTTTTGTGACTGAAACATATATGCATTAAATTTTGAATGATGATTACGAAAATGTGAACTGGATCATGGTGAAAATTGAAAATAATTTATAACTATAATAATGTAGCAAGCAGAACTTACGTTAGAACCATTACGTAGATTTATAAATTTTCAAGAAATGAAGTTTACTAATATATTATAGATCAATGTACATATATAAATATCGTTGATAGCCCTTGAATGCTTGACAAGTTGACAATAATAAAGCCAAGTTCAGTTCAAATAATTATTAATACAATATTTTCTATCAATGCATTAAGTTCATTCTCAGTTTATTCATATTGTTTGCCAAAATCATCAAAAGAATGAGCATATTTCTATGTGCGTCTATAGCGGATGCAACTAATTTATTTACATGCAGAAATGTTTCTATATAGAAATGAATTTTTGTTGCGCTTTTATTCCGAGAAATATTATTTTCGATTACAATAGACTAAACAGGCAGATGCAAGAATAGAACAAAACGAACCGATTGCCATTCAAATTATTGAATTCATGTAACCGAGTGTTTTTGTTCTTTTTTTTCAGAAATATTCTTTTCGAAACTAAATAAATAACAAAAAAGACGCAAACACTATTAAAAAATGGTTTCTTCAGTCTGTTCAATAATTGAATTAATAATATCCGTAAACTTTTGTACTCGACGTATTTCAACAATGGCTTTAGTTACAGAAAAAAGGCATTTTAAAAGATTTGAAAAACGTTTCACTGCTTGTTGGTAGCCATATTTGTCCACAAGATATTGCCATGTTAACTCGGTATACATATCTTGAATTGGTAAAATTACTTTCATATTTGTCAAATCAATCTGAATATTTTTGCTATATACAGTATAATTGATTGTCGCGAATGCAAGAATTACAAGTATTAATTTAATAAATGTATCATCAGAATCAAATTGATCAATAACACGTTTAATGAAAATCATTCCAGATGGTTGAAATATCATCTCAGCAGATTGAGAAAAGCTGCAGTCGTCTAATAATCTTGATTGACGCAAAATAAACATTCCGCCAATAGTTGCTGTGTACTCCACTGTATTTTTAAGTAAAACAGTACGATCATGTTGAGATAATAAGAGGAAATCGCGATTTTTTTCGAATACAAGTTGAACTTTACTCATCATCGATGTAAAAAATGGATTCACTGATGAATATTTGAATCGTAATTTAAGAGGTAAGGCACTTTGTTCTTCGATAAAATCTGCGACAAATTTACAGCCACTATTTTCATCGAAGCATCGAACTAAATTTGATAAGACATTCCATTTATCAATACTCAAAGTTGATTGATTAGAGTCGAGCAGATTCGACGTTGGATTCTAAAACAACAAAAAAAGAAAAAAACAATGAAATTAAAAAAACTTCAAGAATTACACTAAATTAAAAAATAAAATAATTTTTGCGAATATTTGAAATATGCATGATAGAGTTTTTAAGAGTTTAATTTTTCTTTTCAGAAAATATCTACTATTTATTATACTAATAACTAGTAAAATAATTAGAAGTATATTCTATTAACTTTCTTTGTTGTTTTCTCATCTACTTACTGACACAAATGTTCAAAAACGAACTCATGAAATGTGTTTGTGTTAATTTTATTGCTGTCGATTTTATGAACGCATTCCTTATGATTAACTTCACAAAACAACAGAAATACAGATGAAACTCTTGTTATATTTAATAACAGTGATGAGTATAGTAAGAATTTTCACCGCTGTAAATACAGCATTCCTATTTTCAAATAAGTCGATAGTTTTTTGAAATTATATGCTATTATTATTATTATTATTATTATTATTATATTTTTATACGTAAAAATGATCTCTATTGATCATTTAATATCACTTGAAGAAATCGAGTACATGAAGATTCTCACCTGACTAGTTGGATCTGTATTGTTCGACGACATAGATAATAATGCGATTGAATCAATGTTCAATTTTCTTTTATTGTTTCTCTTGGTTCTTTTGCACCGAGAAGCTCGAATCATTTCAATACGCATTCCGTTAATTAAACATTTCGTAAGTCTGCATGAAGCACAGGTATGACGACTATTCATATTGATATCACATTTATAGCCAAAATGACATGTCAATACTTCCTAAACAAGGCAATTCAAATAAGAGAAAGAAAGTATTTTAATTTCTATTGACTTGTCCATTTTCGGCATTTCTTTTAAAAAACATCTTGCATGAATGACAGACAATAACACCATAATAAGAATACCGGGCAGGAGCATCACAAATCTTACATTTAGATAGAACTGTGGTTGTTTGCCGCCCAACATTGCTAGAGAATTCTGTTGTAGTATTCACGTTTCCAGTTAATAAGTCATCCATGATCCGAAGTGAAACTAAAGCATTTGTTTCCTTTTTAAAAAATACGATAACGATTATAGAGAAAAACAAATATCAAAGTACATAAAAATGATATTCTCCACTTTTAGTGCATAAATGAATTGTGTGATGAAAAAAATCATAAAGCAGACGAACTTTTCTTTTCTTGCCAAGGAAAATGAGAGAAAAATAACAGAATGTGTGGATCGATAGGGGTTGTTCTTCAGTTATAAAAAAAAATACGGACTCGGTATAATAAATAGAGATGCACTCAATTGACCTGTTACTGCGCTATGGAAAATAAAAATTTGTAATAACTCTCTTTGATGCTTCCTTCATTTATAGTGTTATACCTCTATTGTACATTGCTAACGCATCAATAGTTCTAGTTTGTCTAGCATCAAGCTTCATAATCTTAATTTATTGTCTTTCTGAATGCATATGTACATATAAATCTATCGTGACTCATTGCGCTATAAGAGTTACCAACCAAATTGAGGAATATAAAACTGCGTATATCACGTAAACCATTCGTTCTAGAATCAGTGCACATTATTATGGCAATTAATTGTAGTGACTGCAACAAGTTTTTATGACCCCATATTGTTCTAGATAAACGAGTGCAAAACTTTATATTCGTCATTCTTCAGACTGATCTTTTTCTTTCGAAACAATGCAGCTGATATTTAGATCATTATTGTAACTAATAAATACTTTTCAGCATGATAGATCATAGTGACATAGACATGAAATCTATATTATACATGCAGGCAACACATGTTGTTTACGGGAATGAATGATTAAAATGATTTAGCTTTTCTAGATACACAGAAAACAATACTAAAAATAAAAAATAATTCAAATTATCTATAGTAACGATAAAAACTATTGTAGATATATTTTTTTAAATAACATCAGAAATACTTGAAATTCCTTTATTTATTCTAGTACTCAAATAAAAATAATATCTCTACGAATTTCAGATATGATCTGTTGATCAGTGTTGAAGCATCATTCTTTTTTCTCGTTAAATAATCGTCTTCTTTTTATCTTGAATAAACCGATAAACACATGCAAATGATTGCTTCTATTTATATTTGTGTTAAAATTATTAGACTTTTAAACGAAAGAAATAATCTTCTTATTTAATAATGTGTTCGATAAATTTCTTAAGCATTATGTTTGAGTATAAATAATTTTAATCCAGAATCAAATTGCTATCAAAACTTGAAATAGTTAATGAGCGGAATAATTCTAAGAATCGAATGGATAACAAATTCGGTTAATAGTCGATAGTTACTAAGTTGATGAATTTTTAAAAAATTCAATTTATTATCTTACTCCTTTAATTTAGAAAAAATAAAATGATTTTATAGTAGCTTAGATTTAAGATTATTCTGTTTGTTTAATCAACAAGGCTGTTCAAAACAAAAATACATCAAATGGCAATTTTTAATTTCAAGATATATTTATTGATTCACACATAAGACTGTTGTATAATTTGTTTTTAGTAATTTATTAGAAAACAATATCATTCATATCTAAAATGAATCAGGAGTATGTAATTCTTAGCTGTGGAATATAGCTTTTCTCAAAATTCAAGAGGATTAGACAAATATTTGATTGGTGACATAAATGATTCTTTCAAGAGGAAAAATGACGATCATGTCAAAAATACCTTAACAACTATGCAACTATAAATACCTCGAAAATAGAAAGACTAACCAACATATTTCCTACGAACAATAACCTCACAGCACCGGAATCATTCATTTCCACGGGAATAATATTAAAAAAGCAACGGGAAAAATACTTTCGATAAATGGCATAGCAAACATCCAATAGAGGAAAAATTCTTTCGTTTGTGATCCAAGATGATCATACATATATAGTCGTAGGCGAAAATGATGAATCTGCACAATATACTCAGGCTGCAGGAAAAAATTAAAATGGATTAGAATATTATTCATTTTTGTAAGAAAAATGATCTGAATATATGCGTCAAGATGAGATAGCGAAAATTGTTCACTCTCGAAGGAAGATTTGCCATTGTTTGTACGATGTTACGTGAAGAATATCAAAGAATTCCTAAACAATTTGTTTTGAAGAACTCCTTTCGAAAGAAAGAATGGAAAAATGAAAAATGAAAGTGTTATTTGGTGTTTGGAAATTTTTGCATAGCATGAAACATGTTGTGGAGGCACGGATATCCATTCTGAATGATGACGATATAAATGTTTGATATCAATCTACTAGTCTGAAGGATGGCAGAATTATCACAACCAAAATGTAAAAATTCTGTATTCACAGCTGACTAGTCTATACCAGAGACCGAAATCGAATCGATTCATTTTTTTTCGGTTTCATTCGGCTATTCAAAGTCATTTTCTTTGTTCTGGTGTTATGGCCGAGGGCAGTTGACTAGTATAAGAGATGACGAATGAAAAAGGACGTCCACTGTTTCTCTTTCTTTGTTTCTGTCAGTCGTACTTATTTAATGGTCATCCTTGTCAGTGTTTTTAACAGAAATCTAAAATACAGTACATTTAGGTACTTTGCTTCTATTGGCAAAGTGCTAGGTGGTACTTTGGGTTCTTCTCCAGATTAACGACACCCCCACTGTATTGGTCGATAGAATAAGAGGAAAGGAAAGAAAAGTAATTGGCTCATCGAGTTCAGTCAATAGACAATTAATCGATAAGAGAACGAGAGAGGGAGTACATTTCCAAATGGATGAGAGTAATGATTCAAAACTATCCGTTCAAATAAATCTTTCGAGATCTTTATCAAAATCATTCAGCACTTGAATCGACAAGCCTAACAGCGATGTTTACCAATGTAAAATAAACTGTCACAATTATACATAAAATCATAAATCAAAAATAAATAGAGAAAAAAAATCATCTAATACTTAATCCAACGAGTAGAGGGTCT